CTGGCTTGTTGCCACTCCAAGTCTCTTCTGGGGTTCTTCCAAGAACACTCTTTGTTGGACACCAATTTAGGACAAATAAAGCACAAGCAACGGTTTCTGCCCAAAACAGCTTTGGTAAATCTTTAGCCTTTAGCATACTCCTTGCCATTTCAAAAATCGTTCTATTCTTTCTTTTTGTTATACCATTTTGCTAAGGAGTATAGCTAACAGTTAACTGACGTTTCACTCCATGAATTTTACAGTATTTGTCAAATTTATTGGAAGTAAATAATCCACCTCTATCCGATTTCAACGTCTTTAGATTAAAGCCACTATGTTTCTTAACATAGACTTTAAATTCCTTAAATTTGCCAAAAGCTTCTGATTTTTCTCTTAAGAAATATACCCATGTTTTTCTAGTAAAATCATCGACAAAAATTTGCATGTACCCTTTTTTGTCCGACTGATTCCACCTCAACAAGGCCACATATATATGTATGTACCAACTCCAAAGGCTGCTTGGCTCTTCTAGCTTTTCCAGCTGGAAAGGATTCTCGATGCTATTTTCCAACGAGACATCCTTCATGTGGGTGGTCTGGATTGTCGATCAAAGGCATGCCAGTCACCATCTTTTTCTGGACAAGTAATTTTAGTCCACGAAATTTAGATGACCGAATCGAAGATGCTATAGCCACTTGCTATCTTTTGCCATCGCTTGAAAACTCAACAGAGTATTCGTCTGAAGGGACAGAGGGAACATTCGATTCTTTGTCATCTGCGCCGTCGTGATCAATTTATTGTTTACACCTCTGATAGTGCAAACTCCATTTTCAATGTTAACTTTATGACCTTTTTTGGAAAGTTGCCCAACACTAAGCAAATTCTAGAAAAGTCCTGGCACAAAGTAAACGTCTGCAATAGTAACATTAGTACCATTTTTTGATTTGATATCAATGTTACCTTTGCCCACAACGGGAATTTTTTATTTACTCCCGAAGTTGACTTCACCACGAACTGTCTCGTCTAGCTGCGAGAATACCTCCTTTCGGCCACACATGTGATTACTGCACCCGGTATTGAGATACTAGATATTTGTGTCCATGGTACTCGAGTCATCCGTTTTGCATGCTAACACCACGTTTTCATTAGCATCGACAACATGTACACGTTCTGGCTTCTCGTGCCCCATGTTTGCTCGGCATTCGGATTTGTAATGTCCGAATCTGATACACTTAAAACACTTGACTTTTGCTTTGTCACGTGTTTTATATCTTCCAATGGAATTCAAATTTCCACCTCTACCTCGAGCACCTCCACGACCTCGGGCACTATGATGGACTCCTCTATTTGAGTGAGCGACCCGACTTTGCAATGCTTGCTCGGGATTCGAGCCGATGGACTTATGATTCATTCTTTGCTCATGCGAGCATAATGAACCCATCAACCTCTCCAACGTCATGGTTGATATATCTTGGCCTTCTTCGATCGCCGCAACAACATAGTCAAATCTCCCAGTCAATGACCTTAAGATTTTTGCTACAACTCGAATATCTTGGAGTTCTTCACCATTAACCTTCAGTTGGTTAACGATGGTTTGCACATGATCAAAGTACGACGAGATAGATTCAGAGTCATTCATGCGTGAAGACTCGAAATCTCCTCGAAGTGTTTGGAGCCGCACCTGCCTGACTCGATCACTGCCTTTGTAGGATTTTTGCAAAATATCCCACGCCTCTTTCGCGGTCTCCGCACTCGATATTTTTTCAAATATCGTTTCATCCATGGCTTGAAATATCGCATATAATGCTTTCTGATATTTCTTCCGAAACTCCACCAAAGAGTCTTTCTCCTGCTTTCTTAAAGGCTCGAATGCTTCAGCATCGGCTACTTCGGTGTAGCCATTCTCCATCAAGTTCCACAAATCTTGGGATTTGAAAAGAACCTTCATCTGAACAGACCAATTATTGAAATTCCTTCCGTTCAACTTTGGAAGTTGTAATTGAATGGAACTGGTGGATGCCATTGCTAGCTCTGACACCAATTGCTGGAACCAAAAAGGATATAGAGAAACTTTGAAGATTTTAGTGAAGAGCACACAAATACACAAACGAGAGAGAATAATATTCAAAATGCCTTTTTGCGTAGGCTTTACACAGAGAAGATACAAGCTTAGCTCTACAAGCTTTTTCTCTCAACTCTCTCTTATTTCTAAGGCTTTCTACATGTTAACACAAATGGAGGGGGACATGCCTATTTATACTACTCCTAAGGCGGTGATGTTTTCGTCTTTATTAAGCAAATTTCACTTGTCAACTTGAAGACCAAGTTTTGAATCATCTTGCGACAGAAGATCGTAGATCAACTTGCTCCTCAAGGAAAGTTACAAAAAACCAAAAACAATTTTAATATTTCTAACAAAAATGTCGTCGTCCGAGGGTAAAGGGGGGTACACTTCGTGGATTGAACTTAAAAACATCATGGGCCGACGCGACGCCATGAAAGGAAGACGACTTTTGGGCCTGAACTTAGAGCGTCCAAACCCATCAATACAAACCAAAACTATGCTGCGCATGTCTTTGGATTGGTCAACTTTCATGGCAGCAGAAATTAGAGGATTCGTGTTTTATTGTAATTGATTCTTGTAATCTTATTTAATTTTGCTGGAGGGGCGCGATGGATGTGGTTAGTTAACTTATCAGCTAACATTGGGAAAGTTATCCAAAAAATTCTAAATCTATCGTACGGCCCGTCAATTCAGTCCTAAACTTTTCAATTTGGCCAATACAGTCATAAACCTCTCAATGATTTTCCAACTAAGTTCATCCGGTCAATTTATTCAGGAAATCGCTAACGTGGTAATTCAATCAGTGCTGGCCATCCTACGTGACGCGGCCAGCCATCTTCCGGAACTCTAAGAGATCCTTGTCTTCCAACTTTGCCCTTGCTAAATTATCTAAATTCCAGATTTTCCCTCATCATATTCACTGTGTGGGCTCGCATGACATCACTGGCGAGGTTGGTGGTTAGATCTGGAGTTGGTGAGTCTTGCTTGAGGTCGTGCGACCTCCAGTGCCTGAGTCATGGCCCTTGGGCACGGCTAAGGTGGGGTTTCCTTGCTTTTAATTTATATTTACTCTTTTTATACTAAATGCAATGGTGCTTACCCAAACACTATATGCATTTCGTCATAACCATTTAGCTTAAAGTCCTTTGCTTTTACGTAAAAATCCATTTCCCCAAAACTCTCCCAAACGCATCCTCTATGTGCCCACCTCTTCTACATTTAAAGACAATTAGGATTGATGCGTGGGATTGGACGAACGCCGTAACTGCATAAGCTAAGCACATATTGACAAAACCCAATTCTCATGTCATATTAAAACGTCCAACCAAAAAGTTTAAATTGATAAGTGAAGAGATGACGTATACATAAAGAGCATATAAATTCCGTAAACAAGTTATGCGAATTTTTTAACACACTTACGAGAGAATCAGGACAAGCAACCGAACCCCGTGCGAACGGGCAGCTACACCATGGTACTATTCTCCACGTGCGAAACCCGAACGGGGGAGTACAAGAACCAAGAGCCCGTCGGTACTTACGCATTTTGGTAAGTGCGAAGAGCCGTACGTGGGCATTAAAATACTAGTAATGGTCGCCTTTGCTGATGCAGCATGTTGCAGTGCTCGTGCCTGCCTGCCTGCCCGTCTGCTCCACTTTCCCTGCGATCTGTTTTTACCTTTGCGCAGCAGCTGAGATCACGATTGTCGGGATGCGTAGTTTTGTGGAGAAGCACCCAGGACCGACGAAAAGCAACGTTCATATTCGCAGAGAAGACAGACCGCACCAGCTCCCCCCCCTGCAGATCTGCTGCAGCAGCTGGGCTCTTTCCCCCCCCCAAAAAAAAGGGGTTAAAAAGCGCAAGAGGCCAAGTGAACAGAAACCCACGAAGGGAAGGGAAGAGAGCATCTCGATCTGCATTCTCTTTCCATGATCCGCGCCGGGTTTGGTGCAGATTTGCCCTTCTCGATCCACTTAATGGCAAATTACCAATCTAATTTGATGGATCCAGTCAAGTCGCATGAAGGGAGACTAATGGCTAATGATAATCATATCATTCTGTTTTCGTATTTCTCTATTTTTCTGTTCCTGATAATAGATTTGAAATAGAAATCCATTTGGCAACGCAACCATCATTTTATTATTTCCGGAACAAATTTTTAGCTTGGAAATAGGTTTGGAATAGAAATGGAAAGCAGATTTTTTAAAATTTTTTTTATTCTATAACAGAAAAGAAATAACAACTATTGTTATTGCTAGCCTTTCCCACCGGCCGACGCGAACAGAAATTTAAGAATAACCCATCAAATAAATTTCTATTCCGAAAATAAAAATTTGGCGTTGTTATCAAACACTATTTTTTGCTCAATAACTTGTCCGAGAAATTGAAATAGAAAAATCTATTTTTGACTAGAAATTGGGTTGGGGGAAAGAATGGTTTTCATTCGTACCCTAAGTGTGCCTAATCCCGGTTCCCGATATACCTCGTTACGCTTGAGATAGATCACCCAATTGGAATACCGATCCGATCCGACCCGCCCCGCCCTGCCCCGATCAAAGTCGTAATGTCAAATCACGAGTGAAGGTTCATGATCAAATAATGATATTCCTTTTCTCTTTTTCTTTTTTCCTTCTTTGGGCTTTTTACTAACGGTAACGGTCCACCTGTACACCCAAATCACAAAAAGTGAAAAAGGAAAAGGAGGGAAGCGTACCTCCCCTCCCGGATTCACGCAATTCATGTCCACTTTGAAGGAAACGAACACCTCCCACGAGCCCCGCGTGACCACCGTGACCGTCATTTACTACTCCAACCAAACTTCAGCCGCTGATGGCATTTCCGTAAAATCCGGCAACAACGATGGCTTTAATTCGGGCCGGAAGCCCTCTTCCCTTTGGTCCGGAACCGAAGATTCTCTCCGGCGAAGAAATCCACGGTCGGCACCGGGCGCGCTGCTCCAGCTCGGCTCGGCTCAAGCCCACCAACCAGCGACCATTCCCGATCAGTCGCCAGGAATCGAGAAAATCTCGCCACGTCGGCACCCTTCTCCCCGCTGACGTGTCACGCTCCTCTCTCTCCCCCCGGCCTTCGCCTTTTAACCCCCGCTCCGGTCCCTCTCGCTCTTCACTCAAATCACTCTACCACAACAGTCAAAAAGTCAAAGATCAACCAAGAAATCTCTCTCTCTCTCTACACAAACTAGAAACAGTTCCGGCCAAAGCCAAAATCCCTGTACAGCCTCCGGTCGGGAAATGGCCGAGCCGTGCGCCCGGAAGCTCGTCGTGGAGGTCTGCCACGCCAAGAACTTGATGCCCAAGGACGGCCAGGGCACGGCGAGCGCCTACGCCATCGTCGACTTCGACGGCCAGCGGCGGCGGACCAAGACCAGGTTCCGGGACCTGAACCCGGAGTGGGACGAGCGGATGGAGTTCCCCGTCCACGACGCGGAGTCCATGCCCACGGAGATCCTGGAGATCAACCTCTACAACGACAAGAAGACCGGCAAGCGCAACACCTTCCTGGGCAAGGTGAAGATCGCCGGGAGCGCCTTCGTCCAGTCCGGGTCGGAGGCGCTCGTCTACCATCCGCTGGAGAAGAGGAGCGTCTTCTCCCAGATCAAGGGCGAGCTTGGGCTGAAGGTCTTCTACGTCGACGAGGCTCCGCCCCCGGCGGAGGCCGAGGAGAAGGCGGCGGAGCCGGAGAAGCCTGCGGAGGAGGCTCCGAAGCCGGAGGAGAAGGAGGACAAGGGCGAAGCGGAGAAGAAGGAAGAGGAGAAGCCTAAGGAGGCGGAGAAAAAGGAGGAGGAGAAGCCGGCGGAGGCGGCGCCGGAGAAACCGAAGGCGGAGGAAGCTCCGGCGGCGGCAGTAGAGAATCCGCCGATCGCGCACTCGGAGAAGCCGAAGCAGCTGCAGGAGAGGCCAGAGAGCGGGAAAGTGGCCGTCAACGACCTCGAGCTTCGATCTCTGTCGGGCGATCGGAGCCGCCGGAGCGCGTACGATCTGGTCGACAGCATGCCCTTCCTCTACGTGCGCGTGGTCAAATCCAAGCGCGGGGACGCCGACTCGAAATCGCCGGCGTACGCCAAGCTCGTGATCGGCACCCACGCCGTGAAGACGAAGAGCCAGAGCGACAACAGGGAATGGGATCAGGTCTTCGCATTCGACAAGGAAGGACTGAACTCGACGCATTTGGAGGTCTCCGTGTGGATCGAAGAGAAGAAGGAAGGCGATCAGGCGGTCGAGAGCTGCCTGGGGACGGTGTCGTTCGACCTGCAGGAGGTGCCGAAGCGAGTGCCGCCGGACAGCCCGCTGGCTCCGCAGTGGTACACCCTCGAGTCGGAGAAGTCGCCGCCGGCGCCGGTGAATGACGTCATGCTCGCCGCGTGGTTCGGGACGCAGGCGGACGAGGCCTTCCCGGAGGCGTGGCAGTCGGATTCCGGCGGGCTGATCCCCGAGACCCGAGCCAAAGTGTACCTGGCTCCCAAGCTGTGGTACCTCAGGCTAACGGTTATCCAGACCCAGGACCTGCAGCTAGGTTCGGGGCCCGAGCCTAAGGCCAAGACTCCGGAGCTCTACGTGAAGGGTCAGCTCGGCGCGCAGTTGTTCAAGACGAGCCGGACCTCGGCCGGCTCGCTGTCGTCCGGCTCGTCCAATCCGACGTGGAACGAGGACCTCGTGTTCGTCGCCGCCGAGCCGTTCGAGCCGTTCCTAGTGATCACGGTGGAGGACGTCACGAACGGCCGGGCCGTGGGCCAGGCCAAGGTACACGTGCCGAGCGTCGAGAGGCGGACGGACGACTGCACGGAGCCGAAGTCGAGGTGGTTCAACCTAGCCGGGGACGAGAGCAAGCCGTACACGGGGAGGATCCACGTGAGGGTGTGCCTGGAAGGCGGGTATCACGTGCTCGACGAGGCGTCACACGTGACCAGCGACGTGCGAGCCTCGGCGAAGCAGCTGGCGAGATCGCCGATCGGCTTGCTCGAGGTGGGCATCCGGGGAGCGACCAACTTGCTGCCGGTGAAGACCAAGGACGGAACCCGCGGGACCACGGACGCCTACGCGGTGGCCAAGTACGGGCCCAAGTGGGTCCGGACCCGGACCATCCTCGACCGGTTTAACCCGCGGTGGAACGAGCAATACACGTGGGACGTGTACGATCCGTGCACGGTGCTCACCATCGGCGTCTTCGACAACGGGAGGTACAAGCGCGACGATGCGGGCAAACCCGGGAAAGATTTGAGGATCGGAAAGATACGCGTGCGGCTATCGACGCTCGACACGAACCGCATTTACATGAACACGTACTCGCTGCCCGTGTTGCTTCCCGGCGGAGCCAAGAAGATGGGAGAGATCGAGATCGCCGTACGATTCTCGTGCTTGTCGTGGCTCAGCTTGATCCAAGCCTACACGACGCCGATGCTCCCGAGGATGCACTACGTGCGCCCGCTGGGCCAGGCGCAGCAAGACGTGCTCCGGCACACGGCGATGCGGCTCGTGACGGCCCGGCTGGCCCGGTCGGAGCCGCCGCTCGGCCAGGAGGTGGTCCAGTACGTGCTGGACTCGGACACGCACGTGTGGAGCATGAGGCGGAGCAAGGCCAACTGGTTCCGGGTCGTGGGCTGCCTGTCCCGCGTGGCGATGCTCGGCCGGTGGCTCGACGGGATCCGGACGTGGTCCCACCCGCCCACCACCGTGCTCGTGCACGTGCTGCTCGCCGCCGTCGTGCTGTGCCCCCACCTCGTGCTCCCCACCGTGTTCATGTACGCCTTCCTGGTCCTGATCCTGCGGTTCCGGTACCGCCACCGGGGGGCGAGCAGCATGGACCCGCGGCTCTCCCACGTGGACGTGGTGGGGGCGGACGAGGTGGACGAGGAGTTCGACGGGTTCCCAACGACGCGGCCCTCAGACGTGGTGCGCGTCCGGTACGACCGGCTGCGGGCGCTGGCGGGACGGGCGCAGAGCCTGCTGGGGGACGTGGCCGCGCAGGGGGAGAGGCTGGAGGCGCTGTTCGGGTGGCGAGACCCGCGGGCGACGGGGCTGTTCGTGGGGTTCTGCCTGGTGGCGTCGCTGGGGTTCTACGTGGTGCCGTTCAAGGTGTTCCTGCTGGGGTCGGGGTTCTACTACCTGCGGCACCCCAGGTTCCGGGGGGACATGCCGTCGGTGCCGCTCAACTTCTTCCGGCGGCTCCCGTCGCTCTCCGACCAGATGCTGTAGTAGTCGTCGGACGAGAGCTGCCCGGGACACGGGCACGGACACGCGTTCGCTTTTGGGGGTTAATTTTTACTTGGAATTATTATTATTTTTTTTTCCGGGAAACGACTCGAATTATTTAATTATTTGACATTCTTTTCGCCCTCTTTTTTTACGGGTTCGAAACTTCAAATCGGAGGGGTCGAATAATAACGAGGAAAACTCGTAGTTTGGGCGGCGAGAAAAGTCGCTTTTTTGGGTCGGCTCCGGGAAAGGGGCCCAGAACTGGGGGCAATGTGACCGTTGTGCTGTACGTGTGGGACAAGCATCGGGCTTGCGCCATTGATTGATACCCTAAAAAAAATATATATATATATATATATATATATATATATTTATTATTATTATTTTTGTAGAAACATGGATTATTTATTATTATATTTGTAGCTTTTCATGCGTTGGTGACCGTTGCAGGGGGGCGAGCCTTTACCAAGCTCCTCCGCCACACGTTCTTCCTTCTTTCGGAAGGGCCAATTTGAGATTTTGAATTGGGTCTCTCTCTCTCGTTCATCATCAAAGTCATCTTGCCGACCCAATTGGCCAACGAAGTCACGAAAGAAAGAAGAGAAAAAAAGGGGAGGCGAATCGGGCGTTGACCTTTGACTTTATGTCGTTCCAAGGTGGCGTCGCCATCCGCAAATGGGGGGACACGAGCAAGCTAGCTTGGGCTAATCTATCTCTCTCTTGCTTGCAAGTTGCTGCTAACTTACAAAGTGTGTATATGCATGAGTCGGATGCTGTGATAACGACTAAAGAAACTACCCGCATCATCGACCCTGTCGCGTAACGCGATTCATTTTACCAACAGAGGATGCTGACTGACCCATCAACACAAATCCAATCCTTGAGCTGCGGAGATCGCCCCGCGGGGAGCTGATTACGTGAACGTGGGATTACGACCATTTGAATTCTCGTGGTTTTGGCCTCCGTCGAATCTTTTACCGCGCGGAATACGGGGACGAAGTTTCTTCTCTGCGATCGATGATTTGGCAGGCATGAGCCGTTTTTCGGTTTGCTCTGCCGATGTTCGTCGAAAAAGCGTTGAGAATGCGTGCATGAGCTTCTCGTGACTCTTATAGTATGCATGACTAGAGGTGAGCATGGTTACCCTGGAACATGAGAATCGGATCGGTGGAACTTGTCCGGTTCCAGGTTTCAAGGTATTGGGTAGATTTCAGATTTCAAAAATTGGGGAACTTATTTTGACGAATAGGTTTTAGGTTCTACGTAGATGGAATTTGAAACCTATTTAACTGTATTTTTCTTTGTCAATATCTTTACGTGATCATATGATATTCCATGGCATCTGATAATGGATATATAATTCAGAACTATTAGTCTGAGCTTCCATTTTATGACTAAGATTTTTACTCTGTTAATGTTTCAAATTTTTTTGTGTCTAAATATAAGTTATTTTTAGTGGATTGTAGTAGTAATTGATTATCATAAAACGTGATGATTCATTACAATCGTTCAAGGGTAAACCTTGGAACCGACCTGGAACCTGGAACATGGTAGGTTTCGGGTTCCAAAAAATTATGAACCTATTTCAATGGATAGGTTTCGGGTTTCAAGTAAATTTGGAATTGCTCATTACCCCTATGCATGACGAAGTGAGCTTCTGACCAAAAGAGAGATTGACCGAGAGCGACTGAAATTAAGAGGAGGCAACGAACGACAAAGCCACGAGCAGATTCGGCATCGGCGGTGCGGCCAAGGGCCTCCCTCGTCTGAATAGCGGCGAGGCCCATGACTAATGCCATCATGACAAGGAAAGGTCATGGGATTCGTGAGGAAGAAGAGTTCGTTACGCATGACCCTTTTTCCCCTTTCCTCGCTTGTTTTTTCCTCGTAAGGAATAAATATGTTCTACCTAATTTGGCCGTCTCTTTTTAGTTTGAGATACACCGCGGGGGGCGGGCAGCGTTCACGCGGCGGTGCACGACGGGATTTGCCGGGTCCTTTACACGTTCGGTGCGCGATCGCAACGGCTCAAAGAGAGTTCGCGTCTTCGACAAAAACGCGTACCCAATTTACTTCTCGAGGGGTTGTTCTCGAAAGAGCGATCGTTGATACTCGAGCAGTCGGTCCGCGAAAACGTACGTATCGAAGATTACCGTGCCATTTCCGACGCCGACCCTTTAAAGCAATAGGCGGAGCCGCCCCGTCATCGCGCGAAGGATTGGGAACCCGAAGCGTGCTACCGTCAAGAATCCGAAATAAGGCGAAGTTGCCCCGATTCGTATACGGGAAAGAAAAAGGGACGGATCGATTCGAGCGGTCATTTTCCTTCACGGGCGATCAAGAGGGAAACCAGGAGGAAATCTACAACGAAAGACAGATACATCAAGGTATCTACAAATGAAAGGTCTGCTGATGCACATCAGGTTTCATCTGATGTCACTTTCGCTCCTTTTTCGGAATATACCCACTGATCATCTTTCACACATTCTTCTGGTCCGTCTGTTGACCTACGTCCCACACGCTTCTCGGCATGTACCTACTGTCATATCCGTGGTCCATGTTCAGTTTTTACTTAGTCGGAATTTAATCATTAGAATCACGTAACTTGGACACATTGGACCCCAGAAAAAGAACTCGGGAAAAAAAAAAAAAAAACAGAAGAAGATAAAGGAAAGAAAACATTGAAAGGGAGAATTACGTAGGGATCGTTGTACTTCTATACGCTTCCCCCTCCCCCCGCGATAACAGAAAGCAAAAACCCGCATACCAGTCCCAACCACACGCGCACGCTTCTCCCCCAATCTCAAAAGGGAAACTTCGAACTGCTCCTCGAGCGCTCGCTGTTCGCGCAAATATCGCCAGAGCATCGGGGAGGGAGGGAAACGAGGCCTTTCGTCCCAAGCAAAGCCCCGAGCCGATCCCGCCCCGTCGTCCTAGAGACCCACCAAGAACCTTCACAGGCACGTCACGCCCTTCTTCATCTTCATCATCATCTTCTTCTTCTTCTTCTTCTTCTTCTTTTTCTTGTTCTTCATCTGTGATGGTGTTAGCTGGGGTCCTGGAAGGAATGGGGAATGGGGAATGAGGAGGACTGTCGTCATGATTGAAGACTGGGTCTGATGGGTTGCCATCTTGACTTGCTGTTGGGGGGGAAGTCGTCCCCTTTGAACAGTGATCTGATCTCCGTATAGGAGAAGGTGACTTCTTTTGGGTCAATGTGGTTTTGGTGAACCGTAGACGCCAAGATGCTAAAACAGCAGCCTGTTCATCGATTTTTTTAAGGCGTAGATTAGTTGACACTCCGAGATAAGCGTCACATGGCCCATCATCAAGTGCGCTCGTTTACCAAAATTCTTCCTTTTGTGTTTTTCTTGGTTGCAGAAGAAGGCCAAGAATTCAAGAAGCTTGGTCTTTCAATTTGACACTCAATCCTCATGGTACCCTCTCTCTCTCTCTCTCTCTCCATCCCCATCAGGTCTTGTTGAGTTCTGAAGCTCCCATTGGCTGTTCATGACTTGTGCATCATCTGGGCTTTTTCTTGTTTTCCGTTGTCTTTATTGCTCTCTCTCTCTCCTCTGTGAACAACACGAGGTTGACCTTATAATTGTATGAGCAACTGATTAGGGCCAGGTACGATTGCAGGCACAACCAACAGCGCCCCCGCAGCCGCAGCCGCATCCGCAGCCGCTGGGAACGCAGAACCAAGCCGCAGCGGCGGCCTCGCCACTCGTCCGGCGGCTCTTTGAGATTCTCTTCTACGCTCAGCTGATTCTTGTGGTGATCTTGACCATAGTGCTCACGGTCCGCGGCCTCCTCTCGGCCAAGAGCCACAACTTCCACCCGGTGAATTGGTACCCTCCGCTCCTCACTGCCGTGGCATGTGCCGGGATCGCTGGTTTCTCATGGCACTTGTACATCGTGAAAAACCCCGCAAGAGCCGTGAAGGCAGCATTTTGGCTGAGTCCCTTGTTGACTTGTGCATTCGGCGTGTTGCTTGTGACGATCGAGTCCTCGGTGGGTTTGGCCTTCGGAATAGTCGCGATTATTTCTGGGCTGATACAGTCATTGTACGGATGCTGGGTTAACCATCGGTTTGAATATGCCGGCCGGATTCTATGGGTATCCACAGTTTTCCCACCGACTCACACTACCGTTTTGGTCGGGCTTTCCATCGTAGTCTCCGTCGCTTACTCGGGCTTCCTGGTGTGCGGGATTGGAGGAGCGACCGCCACCGCGACCACCTGGGACGTCGTCTTCATCTTCATCATCTTGCTCCACTTTACATGGACCATGCATGTCATCAAGAACTTGTTGCAAGCGACGATAGCCCGTGTCAAGTACATGAACTTTGGTTATGGGGCAAATGTGGACACTCGCGAGGCTTCCCAAGACACGATGAAATACCTGATCGGGAGCGTCTCTATGGGTTCCGCCATGGTCCCGATCATTGGCACGGTCCGAGGCTCTGCACGTGCACTCAGCTCTATCGGAGGAGGGTCAGATGAATTCTTGTTCTCGTGCACTGATTGCTACTCCGGCATCGCTTTGACGCTGATTACATGCGGGAACAGATGGGGATTTGTACATGTCGGAGCCCTCAACAAAGGGTTTGTGCAAGCATCGAGGGATGCTTGGGAGACTTTCAATAGGGCCGGATTACAACCCTTGATCGACTCTGATCTGACCGGGGTGTTTTGCTTCTTCTGTGGTCTAACCGGTGGAGCAATATCTGCCCTAGCGGGCGGTACCTGGGCACTAGCAGTTCAAAAGGGTTATGCTACAGAGGTGTCCCTGTATGCTTTCTTGATTGGCTATTTCATGGTAAGGTTAAGCTAACTAATTTCAACTCTAGTTCTTAGCTTTGTCGATACTTGGAAATGGTTATCTAAGTTTCTAACTTAGTTTGTGCGTTTCAGAGTCGAATATCAGTGGCATGGGCACAAGCATCTGTTTCAGCATACTATGTTGCTTATGCGGAGAACCCAAACAACGATCGGTTCGACTCGACCATCCCATCTCGTCTCGAAGCAATGCGGAGATATGGGCATTAGAGCACACTACTTTGAAGCGAACTGCTGTTTCATAGAGAGCTCGACATTCTCGTTGGGTCAGTAAAGAGTCTGTACAGCAAAACAATTCACAGAGAACCATACTGATGTTTCTTTAGTTTTTCTTTTCGGGACATCTTCTTTTATTCTTACCATTGCATATACAAAAGCTTCAGCGATACAATCACATCTGTTCTTTAATTACCGCTCAACAAATTCACCATGATTGAATTGCTAACTCTGTTCCTTAGTCAATCACCGTGCACCAATTTCATGAAGCAAAGTTACGAAAAAATATGTCCATGAATTTTGCTATTTCATAATGAAAGTCACAATGGACAAGATTTGGCAGAAGAGCCACAGGAGAAACAAACCATGAAACTCAATTAGCTCCAAGATGACCTCGACCGCCACATTCCGGGCACATCATATTGCCAGTTCCACCACAACCTGCATGAGTGGCAACCGATTTGGGAATTAGGACTTATCTCGTGAAATAAGATAAATCACTTAAACAACTGCCCGAGAGATTTTCTTTTAAAAGCATTCCCTGAATCTATAGTCAGAAGGATGATCCGATCACATGTATGTCACGTATACAGATTCCAGAAGATGAGCAAGTTCTAGGACATACAATGGATTTCATCATATGGAAGAATGCCTTGAGCAAATTCTAGGACATACAGTTGATTTGATCATATGGAAAGATGTCTTTAACAAAACCCTGAGGGAACTAGACAAGAAGAGAGTAATGACGTGACTGAACATCATCTCATATAATGCCTTCCATAGACGGCATTCTCCAATGAGGAAACACAACTCAACCAGGACTCCAATGCCATCGAGTGGCCATTTCACAATGACCAAAGGCATCACCAACCTACAGCCTTAGCTTCATTTTGAGAAATTGATGTAATTAATGATTAAGATTAATGCCTGATAAATTTCCTTTCTTTATCTTTCTTTTCAGCGAGTCTTTTTCTCTTTTGGGGCTCCTTTTGCTTTTGGCCTTCTTTCTTTCTTCTTTTAGCTTAAATGTTTGGACTTTTTGCTTGATTGACTCTATTTCATCATTGGTGTGATGTTTTAATTCGGAATGAAAAACTCCCAATGATTGTGTATGCTTTCAACATGAATGAACTTTTTTTGATTACGCGTTCAAAGGAGAGGTGAATAAGGGAAATATCATGCAATTCACATTTGACAGGCAAAATGTGATCCTCCTTGATATGCAGAAGACTAAAAACATAACTACTCAACTCCATGAGACAAAACATTATCTTCACAAACTCAGTTAAACGCATTGATAACATGCCGTAGTGGCGCTCAGGCTAATACCGACATTTAAAATACAAGCTTAAAAAAATGATTAGGCTACTTCCAAAATATTGGAAATCTTAAGACAGCAAATTCTCAAATTACTTCAGACTCTGATATTTTGGATGAATTTCTTTACATAATTTGCTCACATATTCATAAGGGAGACGACATAAAAATTCAAAGAAGTTATGTTTCAAACTTTATCTTCAGAATGTACTCCAAGACAAATCACAACAATATCGGTAACTGTTTTGGAAGCCAAATAGTTAAAATGAAGAAGCATCTCTTAAGAAACTCTTCATCGAAACTTTCTTAAAGCAAGAACATGAAAATAGTTGGCAAAATTCATATCAGATATACATAGCCAAGATGAACATCAAGAATATCGATCAACACTATGGAAAGTTATCCTTTGAAATTCCTCCGGTGGTCTGTTTGGACAAGGTTCAGAAAGAAAAGTCAAAGAGAAAAGTGAAAAATTCTTTGAATTTCCCTAATTCTTCTTCTTCTCACAAATTCAAATTCTTCTCATTCCCCCACTTCTCTTCTTTCCCAAAAATAAACATTCAAAGAAAGTAGAGAAGTCCAGGGACGGATCCAGGAGTTGGGATTTGGGGGGCCAATGCAGAGAAGTCCACATGTTTTAGAAAAAGAGAGGTGAAAAAAGGAGAAGACCGTAACAGGTTATATTTAATTAGGAAAGTTCAAAATAATTTGGCAGAAAACGAATTCCAAATAGTGTGTATACAATTAATTTATGAAATGAAAATATATTGGATGGATCCCAATTCAAAATTTTCTATCCCATTAATTCTCTACATTTGTTCCGTCAATGTAAAGAAACATATGTCTCTTCTGCTAAATTGACATAAACAAACATGTACAAGAGTATCTTCTATCTCTTTTAAATCTACCTCAAACAAAGGAAAACTGAACTATATTCCCTCATTAGGGTTAACCGAAATACTGTCATAAAGTTTGTTATAGAAATTGAGTAAATTGTGTTTTTCTTTTAGAGTCTGCAGCCGAAACAGAGAGTGGCTGTGGCTGCAAAATAGAAGAAAAAGAGTCATTGCAAGGATGTAGCATTTAAGAAAGGAGAGTCTTTGAAAAGAAGGAAAAGAAAATGTTCATTCCTTGCAAACTGGTACTTATTTATCTGAAAACTATCAGACCCAGGCATCTTGTTAATGAACAGTACCACCAAAAGTTCCACCCCCCCGAAAAAGAAAAAAAAATCCGTTCCTGGAGAAGCCTAACGAGGCAGTGCACATCGCTATTGATTCCAAAACAAAACCCAGACCAAGCTACAAACAGCGAAGAGCAGAGGACTATAATAGATGAATTTCCTGAGTTGTTCAATGTAAGGATAAGGAAGCTTCTGCTATCAGTATCATCTTTCAATCAAGAAATTCACCCAACAGAATGATATGACACTGAATTAAAGTGGCAACTCCCAAAGAGAGAAAAAAGTTGAAAAGCTAAGTGCTCAGTTGAGTAAATGCATACATGAGTAGTCAGAGGATAAGAAGTGTTGGTAAAACAAAGAAAGTTTACCTAAGCAGCGAACTTTGACTATGATTCCCTGGCTCTCCATTATGGAGTCAACATATAGTCCAGAACCTGAACAAGTGGAGCAGAGGACTGCACCTTTCGCCTGGCAATCATCACATCGAAGATTATCTCCGATTACTTTTTCTTCTAAAGACAAACCAACCGGCTTCTCAATCCTCTCTTCTGGAATAGGCTTATCATAACAGAATAGCGATTCAAGACTGCTTCTTCTTTTATGTGTATCAGCAACAGACCTTGATTCAGCCTGCAAGATGGAGAAGATTTTCTCAAATTATTCATCACCAGAATTGACTTGTTCTTAATCAGCTTTGATTAAATGAATCAATCATTCAATTGCGCATATACCATCTTTACCTTATATGCTCATCAGACCAAGAACTTCAGAAGCAATCAGTCATGATAAATACGCCTACCTATGTCATACTGAAATTATGCCTAGAAAATATTCAGATAGAACTTAAGAGGCTTTTCAATCGACTCCCCACGACTCAAGTAAGGCTTTGTGCCTTTCTCCTATTGTGTGAACTCGGGTACTCGGGTGAACTTATTCTTATGCTTAATGCAGGCTACAGCTAATCATACTGGATACAGCTTCTCAACCATAAAAATCACTCTCTTCCTTGGGTCCCCAGTTCATCAAATATCCTTCCTCAACCTCTTGCTCTAATTACTTTGGCTTCCAATCTTAAATTGATCCTTGCAAATCTCTTGGACATCCCTCTATATCGCCAAATCTTGTTAGTTACATCTCCTCTAAATTTTTCTCACCTTGCAGTTGGCACTTCTTCTTTTTTGTACCTTTGCCTTTTCCCTTTCACGATCTAAAGATAACACTCATAAGCAGCGACTTGCACTAAAATTTCTCATATTAACTCCAAAACTTAATAGAATTTCAACCGATCTCCCAGAATCAAGGAGATATATTTCCCCATCAGAGACATCTCTTCAAAGATATATTCTTAATTCTACTTTCCTCATATAGGAATTTCCACATAAAATAAGAGGACTAGCAAAGTCCAAGATACTAATTGCTTATCTCACTCCTCCCTAATCTAATGCGGCAGGCTCTGTATCACAGCCTCCACAATTCTCCCAGGATGCCCATCTAAATCCCCAACTAAAAATCCTCTCTCTCTCTCTCTCTCTCTCTCTCTCTCTCTCTCTCTCTCTCTCTCTCTGAATATAACTCGGGCCTAAGATACCCAATTCTACCCAGAAAAGCAGGCGTCCACACATATGTGATATCAATAATTACAATGTTTCGGAGTGAATGAATGCATACAGATGCGCACCTGGAAAAGTTTGAACTTTTAACAGAAAATGAAGAAGCTAACGACGAAACTAACATGCCCAACACAACTAATTGAGTAAACGAAGAAAACAAACACATGCCGAATTCATGGGCAAGGAGGAGCGAAGAACGCGAGCTAACCCCCTCGGAAGCAGGTCGAGAAGAAGCAGAACCGTTGGGCACCGGCGCGACCGCACTGACTCGCTTCGTGGGTCGTCCTCTTCCATTGAATTGGAGCCCGTAACAGAGCTTATTGCTCGAATCGATCGATCTGGGCGTAGAAACGGAGGTCAAGCTCGCCGACAAAGACGCCATCTTCGACGTTAGCGCATCCATCGAACACCCAGAAAGAGAAAGAAGCAACTTTTGATTGAATTCGAGCAATTCCGAGTCGAAAACGAGAGAGAGAGAGAGCGCGCGCTTTGGTTCAATCGTTGGTTGCGGTTTTCAGGCAGTCCGGTTGGTGTCGTTGTTTCCGATGAAGAAAAGAGAGAAAAACCCAAAAACAAAATAAGAACAAATAATGCAAGAATTAATGTGTAATTTTGCTTTGACTAATGATGTATGCTGTATTTTCACAAAAAAATTAAAATATATATATAAAGACAATGAAAACTAAAATTAAAAAAAAATAAATAAAAAGAAATTAGGCCGGGTAGGTCGCAATTGTTACGAAAGAGAATTGGAGAAGGCACTGGCCAAAAGAATGAAAACCCATTTTTTTTCATGTTTGGGAGGTAGGACCTAATGAGGGGGCAAGTCCGGAACCGAATCGAGCCTAAAATCCTTACATAGAACTACTCATGATTAAAAATTGAATAATAATAAAAATTTCGATGTGAATTACGAGTCCGAGCAAGCCAAGGTGAGCAAACAAGTCCGATCCCAGGCCCCTTCCCTACTTCGACCAACCAGGTATGGGCAGGATCATCAGATCGCCCCAACCTACAATTTTTGTAATTTTTCACGGAACAAGTTTTTTTTTTTTTTGGTAACTCGGGAACCCCCCGCACGGCCGACAGCCGGAGAGGTAAACCCGGGGTGACGCTGGCGCAAGACCCACCACCACGACGTCACGCTTAAGAATCCCTAACGATAGCGCTAGGATTCGAACTCCTTTCCTTCGTGAGGGGAAGAGAGCCCAAAGCCAACGCAGCCGCTGCGGGCGGTGGTTCCGCGGAACAAATTTTGATACTTTATACTTCCAAAGTTTTTAGTTAAGTCAAAGTGTTGATTATTGTTTTTAAGGGATAAGTCCAAGTTAAGGTCTCTAACTTGTCAAATTCAAAACTTCTTTTGGTGCAATTCAACTCCTCTAACTTGTGCGACTTTTCCAATCAAGTTCAATTTTTTCCGAATCATTCATTTTTCGCGAAACGAACGATCCCTTAAAAAATAATTTTCTTCTCTTTTTCTTTCCCCTTGACAATGGGCCTTGATATTGGGTTTGACCTTTAGGCGGGCCAGAATCTCATCAGCCCAGATCAAAATATATTTGCCCTTTTTTTCTTTTTCCTGTAATCAGCCGTTGACCAGGACTCCTCCGTCCAACTGCCGCTCGAGCCCGTCAAACTTTGCCAATTTTAACCAGCAAAGCAATCTTGAGCTCCATTGTCAACTCTCTCTCTCTTTCTCTCTCTCTCTCTCTCTCAATCTCTCTACCTCTCATGGCGGATGACACCGAGGATGTTTCAGAAGTCGGCCCTCCTCAACAGCTCCCACCTCCTGTAAGCTCTCTTTCCGTCTCGTCTCTTCTGCTCCTTTTGGCAAGCATTTACCTCCTCAAATTACTCGAAACAAATCTGGTCGTGGAAGCTTCCGCGATGCGGTTTTTGGTTGTGTTGTGTGGATGCATCGCGGATTGCTTCCCTGTAACGACAATTCGGAGAAATGGGTTTCCTTCGGCATCGCGTTTCGATTTCTTTCTTTCGAGTGCTGAATTGGGTAATCGTTTTCTGATGCTCGGCGGACCCTTTCGTTGGGGGGATTGGAAAGCAGTTCCTGGAGGTGGCGTGCAGAAGCTCCGGGAAGCGGAGGAGGTTCGCGGCCGGCACGGAGGCCGGGTTCGCCATGCGGGTGATGAACAAGAAGCTGGAGAGCGGGTCTCCGTTTGCTCTGTTCATTGAGGCAGTCAAGGAAGGAGAGGAAGCCGTGACTTTCGGCCCGAAATCGGCTCTCGTGGACTATGGCTCTGGATGGAGGTTGCAGACCGTCTCTGAAGTGGATTATGCTGGTAACTTACATTTACTTGGAGGATCGGAAAACCGTATGATCCGGCGGCTTTCGATGTCGCCGTTCTGTTTACTGTGTCTTCTTTTGTGGATGATTTGCGATTTCGTTTCTGATAGCTCTTCTTGACTAGGCGGGGACGAAGGTGAAGGGTTTCGGCAACACATGGCGCGAGCGCCTTTCCAGGTAAGGGTTGTTGATGTTCAGGATCGATTTGCGAAAATCTGTTTAGAGTAGTGGTCATTGGAGAAATATATGTTCTGGGATCTAAAAAATCCTATGATTTGCTGTTAAAGTGATGTGATTGATCTCGGATGTCCACCAAGTGTCGTTAATCATCTCTCGCCGACCCATTGATCTCTGTTTACGCGAGTTGCGAGTTTTCTGCCATCTCTGTTAGAAGGAAGCAGAAAAAAGTCGATCATTACTTTGACGTGAATACTTAAAATGAGTCTATATTGCTGTTAATCTACGGGTAAAGTGTATCTTACCAGTACCTACTGAGCATTTACAAGCTTACTGATGCAGTCTATCCCGTTTGTGATGCTTTTGCAGAACGCCGACGGTTCCAGCATTGTGAAGGATGGAGGAAAGCCCGTCATCAGTTTGGCGTACCTCGGGAAAATATTAGTCGCATTCATTTTGATATTTGTTCTCGGTGCGATTTTCACTCTGGCTCTTGAGTTTCTTCCCGTGTTAATTTTGTCCATCAACTCAATCATGTAAAGATCCATGATCCGAGTTACATGGAATCAGTGTTCATTGCTTCAGCTTATTTGGATAATGCACAGTTCCTTGTCACAAACATGTATATTCAACGCCGAGGTCGGCACATACATCAAAGGCGGCTGTCGTGTGCAACGCGGTCTAAGCAATAACAGTCGGACATTCTCTGACAGCTCATGCCTCCTATGAAACATATCTTCATCGGGTGTTGCTGAAAATTGATACAAGGGATGTTGTATAATTCGAACATCTTTACAACAGAAGGGCGAGACCTTCGGGTTCCCCTGAAGACTATTGTACAAAGGGAGGGAGGAATTTCATTTTTATCCTCTCCATGCGTCCTTATTATCACCAAATAAAGTACAATGAATCAAATAAGTCAGGGGGTGATCATCCATGACCTGCTGCAATGAGACTTGAGGGTAATTTTTGCAGGAACTATGCTTGACGATCGGATGAGGCTTGATAAATCTCATGAGCATATGCTGCAGGAACATAGACAGCACCTTTCAATGAGCTGTGGCTCCGGCCGTAGAAAATGTAGACTAGAGCTCCAATCAACATCCATATCGAGACACGGAACCATGTTCCCAACCTGGGCATCCAGTTGTCAAACGGATAATCGGATCAGTTAGATAGAGCAAATGGGTGGTATGCATAAGTCATTGAGAAAAAACGCTAACTCTGAGGATGCTCACCCAAGACTAACTAATAGGTAGGTGTTGACCAGAATACAGGCAACAGGCAAGAAAGGGACGAATGGACACTGAAAACCTGTTAAAGGAAAGTCAATGACAGTTTGGATCATTTAAGCATTGAATTATTAACTCTGAAGAAAACCTCGTCTAATCAGGACTGAACCACGGTATATCGACACATGCAAGCCATAGAAGTTACCTCCTGCATGTCCAAAGTCATGCCTTGCATCATCCTGTTCTATGCAGGCCAGCACGACCAAACTGCCTAAGACAGCATCTCCAGCCAATCCACATAATATCAACCGAAGCATGCTGTCGAGTTAATGCAGTAAGGAGTTATGAAGCATAAGACAGTCATGAAACAATCACTGCCAAAATTTCAAGACGAACGAGATCGAGGTGATCAAGTGTTACCTTGCAAATTTTGTGCATGCATGTGTATCTAGAAAGCATCCGCTTTTCTATTGTGCTACACATGCTTCTGTTGTGGATTTAAATCTAAGAAACCTGCTTCATTTAGCTATTGTGCAAACAACTCGAAGCATATGGGCCACGGTTATTCAACAATTGAGGGAAGGACTCATCCTTGTCAATCCCTTTACTACCCCAAGATTATCGGCCTTTCAGCACTTAACTGGTAGAATTAACTATTGATCCCCAAAAGTTTGTCCATGGAGATAAATTAAGCTCCATTGAGATGATTAAAGCCAGTCTAATATATCTAGAAAGTTCAAGATAGATGAGTATAGCTAAACTACATGTCAAATGTAAAAATCGTCTCACAAAAGACTCAAGAGTTAACAACTTGCTCTGATAACAGAGTGACGGGAGCAAATGAAAGGTTGACCAACCTTGGAAGGCCTTCGACTGAAGCAGCAGACGCAAGTATGAGAATCCCTATGCACACAAAAGCTATACTCCAGGCAGCAATCTTCCGCCGTCGTTCTTCATTATCATCAGTATATGTCCAAGTCAAATTAAGAAAGAACACGTGCACATAGCGGAAGCAGAGGCAATGCACTATGACCAACAAAATTTTTACCCTTTGAAAAAACAATCCACAAAGGCCAGTTATTTTATCCATAATGAAAGGAGGAACCTACTTGTATTCCACAAGGCATGTCTACCTGCCTAGTACTAACAGGGGAAAGACTATTTCACATGATTAAGAGGAACCTGCTTAGCCAGTGCTCATCCATCTAATAGCTGGCAAAGGAAAAGGTGACCATAGCCAGCCTAAACAGAGGACAAAGATGTGCAGGAGAAAGACGAGAGTTCTTGGACTAATTCAGTAAACATGTTAGGACAGAATTGCAATTCACGCGATTATGACAAACGATTCTTTACAGAAATGTGAATGACAAAGAAATAGGTTAGTAAGTCTCTCAATACCTTTAATTACATGTTTTTGCATGGCATCATCTTCAATTGAGGACTCACTTGTCTCAACCAACAGCTGATCACCCTCCTTGGATGGGACAACAGAATATCCAAAATCCATGGAAGCAGTTCCCTTGAGGTCATTATTGAACTGCGAAGATACTGAACCAATCGACTCCTGGAGTCCTGATGTAAGGGGCACTTCATCTGGTGGAACATACCTGAGAATCAGGACAGAAACTGCAACAGTGGTGAAAGCAAGAAGGGTACCCACACTAACCTGCACCCATATAGGAAAATGGAGAGGCAAGCACAGATAAGCAAGTGATTTTGACCCAAAAATCTCTATATACCATTCCAACTACTATTTGACTTACCATCCCAGCCAACTGTGAGACATCCATGAAGAATGCTAAGGCTGCTGCCAGAACACCAGTCACCACTGTACTTTTTACTGGAACTTGAGTGTGTCTGTTTATATCTGCAAAGAATGATGGCAACAGTCCATCCCTAGCCATTGCCATCAAGATTCGTGGCTGAAAAGAAAGGGAGTCACAATTCACTCGATAAAACATACTTGTGTTTCCTGACTAGCGATCATTACAGAAATAGCCATGTCATCTTGATGCAGGATAACGAGAAGGAATAGGAAATTTCTGACTGAAACTTTTGAGTGCATTTGTTTATATCTGAAAAGAATGATGGAAAAAATCCGTCCCCAACTGTAGTGGTCAAAATTCATGGCTGAAAAGAAAGTATTCGCTCTCTAAAACATTTGTGCTTCCTGTCTAAGCAGCTACTTTAATTAAAGAACCAGACAAAGGCAGCTTCATATTTGACGACTTCAATGGGATACAAAATTTCAGGTCCTATAAGAATTAAATTAATTATAGATTGATTTAATAGAGGACTAAGTGAATAAACATTTATAACCCGTCAACATCACAAATGAGGGAAATACTTCAGACAGCAGATTATCATGTCCAAGCAGGAGAGGGGGTGAAAGTTGGAAAGTCTCGATAGTCACTGGCTAGAAAAGGATATAACCACTTGATATAATGAGGCTAAAGCCCGAGTTATATGCATACCTGAGGGAGAATCGAACCCATCAAACTTGAGCATAGAGCCATGACTGCTCCAGTGGTTAGTATATATCTGCCATATAAAAAGCACACCTTGAAACCAACCGGTCCATGGGAGATGTACTCAAGCTTAAATCGTTTGTCCACATGTTAAAAGCGGAATATCATGCTTACGCTGCCCATTGCATCCCATAGTTAGCAAATGCTGAGGAAATCGGGGTGTCTGGATCTAATGCATAGTATGGTACCAAGCCAACAATTACAACAGACACAAGCATGTATAGTATGCAACAAATAGACAATGCCACCCCTATACCCACAGGCAGATCTCGTTGAGGATTTTTCACCTGTCACGTCGATCAGAAGTCAGATTGAGGTTTGATATTTTTCAACAATAAAAACTGCGAAGATAATTCTTAAGTGGTTCAATAATGTCAATCAATTATAACATCATGATAAGTTCAAAGATGAATCAACTCTGTGCCACTACCAGTAAGAGGGCATGTGACCAGAAATAAAACTATCTCGTGCCATGTCATAAGAAAGTACTCAAGCTATCAACCTAAACATCAAATAAACTTTGGCTTTGTGCCCAAAATCATCATCAAATTGTCTACTTCATCTTCAGTAGACCTGGCTATGTTCAGCAACTGATAAAGCTTGCACGGTTTACTTCACCTGCAATGACTATGTACAACTTTGTGCCACATACACAGTGATCAATTTCCAGAAGAATTATCAACTGCATGCTCTCTCTTAATCGGTTATTGTAAAACAAAAAGTTAGGTCTATGCTGCATTAAACTAATGAAATGCCACATGCACAAATTTCAATATTTTTAACCGCAAAGAAGGATATGAGTCAGAATTTATGATAGATTTAAAGCTTCCCAAGAGATCTTTGACCCTTGCTTGATGCGGCAGAGTATAAAATACTATTAATCTTTACGGAGAGAAGAGAGAAAAGGAGAGATTAGGGAGACATCAGAATGAATCTTAATTTGAATTCGGTCATGAAAGCAAAATGATGGCTAAGAATGTATCTTAATATATGTTGAAGTCCTTTCACTTGAAATAACTCATGGAATCAAGTCCTTTTGTTTTGCTTTTATGCGCACTCACACCTTAGATAGACAATCTCCAGGTAATCATTTTGAGATCTATCCTAATGTCATTCTTTTGGCATTTTATTCTAATATACGATTTCGTTGCAAACCACACTGAAAAGAAAGACAACATGAGCCTATTACTTTCTTGTTACGCTTTACCCGCATCTTTTCTATACAACATCTTGTACAGTTCGTACATATGGAAAATCCTTACCTCCTCAGCTGTGCTGGTAACTGAATCAAAGCCAATGTATGAAAAGAATACAACTGCAGACCCGCCAAGCATTCCAGTGACCCCATAAGGAAAGTACCTATAGTGTTCAAGAACAATATTAAGTTTCTGCCCACCTCTAAAACACACGGCAAGGGAAGTACCAAAACTGTAGTTTACCCGTTCGGGAGTTCATACCCCACCCATCCAGTTTTGAAACCTATATATCCACCAGCTGCAATTATGAAAATCATGGCAGAGACATTTATTGTCGTAACTATGGTTTGCGCCATTGAACTCTGAAAAGTTAATTTACAGTTATTAGAGAGAAACTAATACTTGAAGATTCAATTTAAAAGCAAAAAAAAATTCCTAATAAAGGGAAATGGTACCTCCTTGATGCCTATGCACAAAAGCACTGTCACTGTAATAACTAAGGCAGCTGCACAAGGATCAACTACAATCCCAATCCCAGGAATAGTATGACGAGCCAAGAAAGAGGGTAACTTATCCTCTCCTCCAAAAAACACGGCCTGAGGAGGAAGGAAGCAGGACAATACAGATTATCAAAGAGACTAAGAATCACCGGTTACTCTCTTTCTTTTTACAATAATTATTATCCAAAGGAATGGAGATAAATGAAAAGAAAATATTGGTTGAAGCACATACTTATCATTTCATATTTAGGCACTTGATTTTTACTATTGTAAGCAACAAGAACTTTTTGCTAACTAAATATTCTTAAGTTCCACTTCCTTAAGTCAGATATTCGGTACTTTTTTCATTTACATGTGGCAATGCTATTGCAGTGTGACAATGGACCGAAGCAAGTGCACCGTAGAGAGAAGGAAACTGGGGGGAGCGTAGAGAGCATAAAAAATGGCAAAAAACTAATCACCATTCATATCAGGACCCTTTCACTCTCTCCATGACATTGCTATACTACATAGCATGTCCAAATTAGAATATTGATAGACAAACATAAAATCATTTTGGAAAGAGATAGATACTTACAATTGAGTGTGTCCGACTATGTTTCAATACGCACATTAACCTAAATCTTCTCTCAAGAAAGCCACATGTGATGCCAGCTCTGTATCATATCGCGGACCAAGTAGAGTATGAGGACTAAAACCCCTCAAGTTTCTATTCAAAATGTCAAAATCAACCTACAGATCCTCTCCTATAAGTTGTAACTTCCAAAAAATCTCTGGTATGACCCCACCTAGCATTAGAAAAGGTGAGAGCAGGAAACTATTTGTTGGTGGTAACTGTTCAAATGATAACCATTCCCAACCTCATCTACCATTACCAGCGTGAAAATAAGAAGAGCAGAAGTGACCGCAATGTTCTTTCTATGAGAAAGCCTTCTGTTCAACAATACCACCCCTTCAATCTATATAGTTTCCCAAAATGATTCATAGATCAAAGTGAATAGTTGGCTAGGAAATTTGGGTTTTACAATCACAAGCACGAGTTCTTGACGCATTTGGCAATTATGAAATTAAGACTAGGAACTCCGCGAGTTTAATTAAGTCGTGCTTTTCAGACTTGGATTGTCTATCCATAGATTACATGACATCCAGAATAAATTTGGATGATTGTGAAAGCCAAAGTGAGACAAGGATTAGGTAGTTATATAATAATCAAAAAAGAATAGTACGATGAATTGATATCTATTTCGATGCTTATCAAGATTTTTCTTCCAATGCTCCTTGATTATTCTCATACCAATACATTATATCGTTCTATTAAGAAACTTTGTAGCAGATGATGGACTTAACAGAGCTTTACTCTGCTCTCCTTATGGTTAAGCACTACGACAGTTGTTGCCAAATAAGATGGTGTGTATTAAACCAGGGCTTAATCGTTTCAATATTTAATGACTTGTCAATGAAAGATTCTAAACTAAACCTTTCAGCAATAATGCCCTTAGTTGACCAAGTAACATTGCATCCCCTGAGTTACAGATATACAATGTAATAATGATGAAGTACTGTGGATAAACTGCCAACAGTTTGGATGGAGAAAATGAGCAAACCGTTTGGACGTGTTCCAACATATTAAATAGAATAGGGTTTGAGCTTAATACATGTAGTTACCAATTATGAGAATAGCGCACCAGATTTGGGGAGATACCCCGAGCAACAGCCGAACCGCCTATTGTGTATTCCAGGATCAGTGACCAACCAATCAACCAAGCGACTCTGAGAGTAACAACAGATGAATAAGCCAATGACATAAGGCATGTAAACCAAAAAAAAATCATTTCTTCGGCTTATTTTCAAAATGCTCTGAGCACAATGGAGGTTACAGCTTAATGACACTGGTGCAGTGATTATGCCCCGAATGGATGCGTAGATGCGCAATCTAACAATGGCTTGGTCACATCAAGAACTCGACGTCGAATAAAGAGCTAGGACTGGTTTACCCCTCGCCGACGCATATGTAGGTGTAGTGATAGGCGCTCCCGGCAGACGGACATCGACAAGCAAGCTCCGCGTAACAGAACGCGGAGAGCGCGGCGGCTACTCCGGCGATCAGGAAGGAGATGGTGAGAGCAGGCCCGGTGTACTCCCTAGCCACCGTGCCGACGAGGATATACACCCCGGCTCCGACGGTCGCCCCGACTCCTGAAGCAAAACGAACACCGCATTTGTTTCTCCGATCATTATCACCTCGATTTCCCACACACAAGCCATGCAACTGTGAACGTGAGATTTAACGCATATTCCGAAGAGCGCGAACGAATGAATCGGCAAGTTTGCACGGACAGAGCCGTCGGGCATCAAACCAACAAAGCAGGAGGCGTTTACCGATGGCGATGAGGTCGAGGACGGACAGCCGCCTGGCGAGCTGATGACCGTCGCGCCTCGCGTGGGCGGCGGAATCGACCCGCTTCCGCCGCACCAAGCTCCGCAGCGCCCGGGAGCACTTCCCTCCGCAGAAGCTCCCCATGCCGACACGCGCCCCGGAATCCCGCACCTCGCGGTCGCCGGAGATCCGCGGCGGATGAGCCGGCGCCGATGAATGGGGGATTGGAAGAGGACGAAGGGAAGCGAAGGTGATGTAGCCGAGGAGTGAAGATATGGAGGAGAGAGTGTGAGAAGAGAGAGAGAGGAAGATAGAAAAGTCGTAGTGGTTGACTGGAGAGAGAGAGAGAAGAGGGGCAAAACTGAATTATTGGAAAGGCAGTTACTGGATGATGGAAGTCATCGCTCTTTGATCTAAGAAAAAATTTTTTTTATCAGTTTTGCTCTAACTCATGACTCAATCGAACTCCCAACCTCCCCCTTCTCAGATAGAAAGAGTGCCCCACACCCCAGTGGTTGATCTCAAAAAATCTTGATTTCGGTAAAAAACATTTGAGTTTGGAGTAGTATTTATGACTCAAATCGGATGTTCGAATTCCACGGCCGGTGCCAGACGGGCATAGAAATCCCGCGACAACGTTCAAGATCGCGGGTGCCGATAGTAATTCTCCAACTTTTTTTTCTCTTCCGGGACTGAAACAATATTAGAAAGTTGCCTTTTTGGGAATGGATTCAGAATTTCCATTTTGCAGTTATTTCAATTCATCGTAGATTAAAACCCGTGTAAGGACGGTCATGTAACATTTCTTCTCAAACATCAACCTCAAATTCTCTCCGTGCGATCGTGCATTGTCGATCGGATGTTTCCTCTCGACGGGATTTTCCAAAAATCGTGACAAAATTGGAAACTTTAGATTGAACGGCTCTTTATCCTTTGCGGTCGGAGGACGTCCCTTGTTGCCTAGGATTATGTAAGAAGTCAGTTTTTTGCGTCATAATGGACCAATACATAGTAATAAAGCCAGTGACCTTACTCCCTCGGATTCACTAAGAAATGAATTTTTGCGTCATAATAGATGAGCGCGTAAGAAACACACCGCTCTGGCATATGATCCTTCGTTATGCAAATCGAAAGATTATGGAAAGGTTCGTGCGCGTTCCTATGTTAGAGTACGTTTCCTAATCACCGCATTCACCATCCACTGATAAGATCTCATTCATGAATCTGAAGTGGCAAAAGCCGCTAGACACCCAACAGTGTGCTAACATGTCATAAAGCACAGGCCCATGATAGGTTTGTAAAACGAGGAATTGGTCAAAGAATCCTACCGGATAAAACCATCGCCCAAGCACGGACGAAATGCAAAATTCGGCCCTGTCGCTGTGCATTCAGTAGCCAAGACCGACCCAAATAACGACGTTGAATCACTTGAGAAAATCCGGGAGGGAACACGAAGAGCACTTCCTCTATAATCCCAGTTCAAGAATCCTGCCATTGCAAAGTTCCGAGTTCTTCCTGTGGTTAGGCACCACCATCTCATTCTTTCTTTTCGTTCCTTTCTTCCTCAGATAAGCTCAGAAAGAAAATCCAGGGCATCTTATCCCCTAAATTGGATAGAATGAGGGAGAGGGACAAACCACCAAATTCAGAGAGTTCATCTGAGAACCTCGCAGAGGAAAGTAAGATAGATGGAGAGAAGAACCGCAGATCGAGAAATTCCTTTCACATGCTGAAATCACCCTATTATTAATCCAGCATTCCCAGGAATACAGAGAACAGCTCATCAGCTCGAGCTAAGTCAGATCAGCTGAATATAAGTCGAATAACGAGACAATAAAGGCAGACAAGTTTCTCTGCTGTTTTGACATTCAGGAAATCCAGGAATAATCTACAGAACCCAAATCTATGAGAGACATGAATGATTTAACACACAAAAGGAAGAGGAGGGAAAAAATTTCCCCCCGCTCTTTTGATTCTTCAATGTAGTCCTTTTCTTTCACATTCTTGGTCGGGCAGCAAACGAAAATGTTAATTGGTCATCCAAAGCAACATATTTACCATTCAGCTTTCTGGGCCAGGGCTCGGACCGCTTGCATCTCCTCCGTCGGAGAGGGGCATCCACAAGCTCTGACTTCTCACGGCCAAATTATCCCAGTCTTGTTGCCTAATACTCCTGTTATTTGTTTCATTGCCATCAGAAAATTGAGCAAAAACACTTCGATTTCCTCCTCCACTGACTTGCTCTTCACATCCTGCGACTGTCTTTAGGAGCTCTGACTGCAGAGATGGGCAGTTCTCTTTAAGATACTCGAAGCCATCCGAGCGCATAACAGCTGCACCAATAGAAATAAATAAGGAAAGAATGTAAATCCTAGCACAAGGAACAGCTACCATATATAAAGCACCAATAAAAGGTTTAAGCTTCCTTCCCAATTCCAGGCCTTTTGGCAACTGGGCATCTGGGGTATGAACAGCATTAAATGTAGAATCTGTTGCAATAATTGATGATGATTATGACATCACGCTCAAACAAATTACCAAAGAAGTTTTGGTAAAAAAAAATTTGTTGCAATGAAACACATGTACTTACACCAAATCCTACTTGGAATCTTGTATAGATGGTACAAAATTCTGGAAAAAAAGAAAAACACGCAATTTCACCATTGATAAGACAAAACAAGGTTCAGACTTTGTACATCCTCAAAATGAGGATTGCATGCATTGATCTAAACTGAAAATTTAAACATGCTAACCTCAGCATGCAGTGTCTCTAATGTGATCATATCACCAGTGCAATCAATCTAAACGAAAAATTATGCAAGCGAGCCCCCAGACACACACCGCAACAAAACAATCATATCCATCCTCGCACATGGCAATTTGAGACCAAGTTGCTTAAATTCTATAAAAATAAAAAATGTGTATCAACTGGGGAGAAAAACATACCTACGAGGTTTTCAGCAGCAAATTTCAAACAAATAGATTTTAGATCCATGGCATGATGCTGCTCAGCAAGGGCCAAGATCCTGGCAACAGAATCCACAGATATACCCTTACAGAGAATGGACTCACAGATCAGTTTCAATCTAGGCAAATTGTATCTGTCTGCAGCAGCTAGAAGCTTTGCCACCGGCATTTCTGATGGACTGCAAAAGGCACTTGGTATTGAAAGCTCCTCGTCTTCATCCAAAGTGTCTTTGTAGATGAAATGTAGCAAAGCCTGCTCCATAAATACACAGGATACTAAGATAAAAGGAATGCGAAGCCAGAAAGAAGGAGGATAGTCCATAATTCGAGCTGTGCAGCCTATATTTAAAGCAAGGAAACCAAAACGTACCTGGAAGACTTTAGGTTCCATATCACTTATAACTACTTCGTCATTGTCTTCCTCCATCGCATTCAGGAATTCAGCCTCAAATACAGGAGATCGAGCCGCTAATACCAGCTTATGAGCACGAAACTTTTCCCCAGACACATTAAAGGTAGCATCGGAGCCTTCTTCATTCTCCAGCAAGAAGCCAAAGTGTGCACCAATATCGGACTCGGGAACTTGTATGGAATGTAATCTTGGACAGTCTATTTCTGAGACCACAACACCCACAGTGCAATTGATCTTGAGACAGTCATCTTTAAGAAATTCTGATGTTTCAAGCATAGCCCGTCTGAAGAAACGCTTATACCCCCTACAGGGCAATGAGAAAAAAATCAACACAGGTTAGTTGGACAAAATAGCCTGAGGGTACAAGAAATATATTCAACGGCCCTCGTGAAACAGAACGAGTGTTCCTTGAAATTAGAAAAGAGAATCTTGAAATCTACACGAGAGTAACATCAATGTTGTAAGAACCAGATAGGACGGCTGGTTCAACTGGTTGAACCAGGTATGGGTATAAGGTCCAGTCTGGCCATGGCCCTCAAACCCGGTGTTGACCCAATTGAACCGCCAAAAATCGAACGATCCAACCGGCCTAAAAACCACGTTGATCCATTTTTGCTAGAGAACCATTAAAAAAATGAACTCTTTTTTAACTATTGTATAATGGAATGAAAAAATGCATATTTCTCATTCTAACTATTTTGCAGAGGGAATGAGCCAATATGGATTACCGATTCCAAGTTTAGAAGAAAATTTTAAAGGTGGAACCACAAGACACAATGATAAGGAAGCATTCATCCAAAGCATTTGCAAACAAACTCAAGTCATGCAATCCCAGAGGCCGCTGATTGAGAACCATTATTCTTGACAACATAAATCTGAAAACGGAAACACGTTTCAGAAGATTAAGAAGTTTAGACAGACAGTTAATATGAGCATCCACCGGCTAGCCCACGAACAGCAAAAGCATTGAATTTTGGAGAAATAGCTTCTGTAAGCGGCCAAACAATATGGGGAAATTTTTTACATGATGTGCGCAAAAAAGCTCTCCTATAGAATAGTTATACATGTTGAAATTATAAGGGGAAAGGTTGACTGAGATAGCAATATTTAGCCCTCCAAGGAGAGTACAGCTACTATGGATTGAAAGGTAAGTAGTGGCAACCGCCAAATCCAGCTATTATATGTGGCACTTATATCGTTTTGGGGGGAAAGAAAGTTCTATTGCACCTCAAAAGTTGTCGAAACTACTATTGGAGAGCAGTTTGGCGTTTATGGTACAGATTACTCAATATTGCCAAAAGCACATAATCTATTTCAGTTCCAAGTTTAACACATAATAAATACTCTGAGGAGCAAAAATTGAAATAGCTCTCCTGACATATAATTACTATGATACTATCTTACCTGTAACAAAGAATAAGGTCACAGAAGAACATTATTATGGAAGTTCATTTTCAGAGAACAACATTACCACTTCAGACAAAACATGGAATTATTTTAGTGTAAGTCCAAAAGGGAAGCACTGGAATTGGGAAAGAAGTTGATTTAATAACTTGCAATTGAACTAAAATCCTGCGTTCAATCGTAAAGTTATTAGATCTACATAATAGATATAAGTACTTTAATCCGATTTACAGTGATCTTTTGGCAAATTCAGAAGGTCACAAGAAAACCATAAACCAGGAAAACATTTGATCGCACACAGCAAAGGCAAAACATGTAGTCAAATAGCAAGTGGAATGAAAGATGCCAGTCGAAGTCAAGCAAGTTCACATAAGAAGATACAGAAATGATGAGGAAGAAACACTGTAAATATGTCATTCGATAATTGTTTTTGAAGCAGCATACTCTTGTCATGATCAAAGAAGCAATGAGTTGGCTATTTGGCCAAAGCAAAGTGGCTGCTAATTTCTATATGGATGTGGATGCTAAAGCAAAATTAAACTCATCCGATCTTCTCAATTCATATACTCCAGTATTTCCAGGCAGAAAAGCTGTTTCTTCTTTGCTTTGGTAAACACTTCAACCTCACTTCCATATCCTTTTGGTGCGGTATCAGCTGCGATGCATTTTGCTGCTTATGAACTAATTGAATCGATCTTTCTCAGAGCAACCGATCTTTTGACCCTCAGCATCAAAGTGCGCACCGAAAAGCTAGAGTGCCGATAATCTTAACATTCAAACTTGCACTCAATGGAACAAATTGCCCATGAGATAAGTAATGGGCTCTCTTGCAACCACCAAGAGCTGGTGCAGACCAACTACTAGTATCACGATTCACCATTTTTAAGCAATCCGAAGCTCATCAGTACTTAGCACATACATCAAGCGAAAAGAAGAAGTCGAGGATTCTTGCAAAATTTAACATCACGACCATCAAAAACGCAAATAGGAAATCAAACCCGACCGACCGACCGAATGAACACCCCCAACTCACCACATACTCCCCCTGTACTTGAGCGTGTAGGGCCCGCCCTCGAGCGACCGATCGAAATGGCTGTGGACCTTGTGCTTGCCCCGGCCGCTCTGGTCCAGGAGCTTGAGCTCGAACAGGGCCCGCACGTCGGTGCCCTCGCTGGCGAGCGCGATGAACACGGACACGTAGGCCGAGTTGTCCTCCGGGTTCTTCCCGTCCGGGTAGAAGTAAATCGCCCACTGGTATCCCCCGACGGTGAAGTTCTCGCTCGCGATGTGCTTCCCCACGCCCATGCCCTTGGCGAGGGAGTACCCCTGGATCGTGAACCTGTGGGATCCGTTCACGGTCTTGGTGAGCGACTGCGACGACGTCGGCGACACCAGGGGGCTGGCGCTCGAGTTCGCGGCGGGGGGGTTCATGGCTCCGCCCCGGCGGTGGTCGCCGGAGGAGGGGGGCACGGATCGGCGGAGGCGGAGGCGGAGGGGGCGGCGAGAGGGGGTTGCGGGTGGGGGGGCAATTGGGAGCGAGGGAGGGATTTGCCGTGAGGGATTTGAAGGCGGAGGAGAGGAGAGGGTGGGCCGATGATCATGCTCCCGAGCTCGTCGCCATTGGCGGAAGGCTGGAAAAACCTCTCTTTTCACCTTCTTCTTGTTGCGTTGGGTTTTCTGGGGAAGCTGCTGCTCATCCTCCCGTGCGCAGGAGGAAGAGTCATTCCCCCTTTTTGATTCTTTTCGTTTTTTTCCTCCTCGCATTAATAATTTTTCGTTTTGTAATTTCTTTTCGCGGTAAAAAAAAAAAATCACGTTTTCCACTATTATTAATAATAAGAAAAGTAAGGATATATGAAATGAATTTGGGGTTTTACCCCACTTTTTTGTCACAAGTTTATCAATTTGTGATTTTTCGTGATATTAATCCAATTTAACGGATACCAACGGAAAGTAAATTTGTCACAAATGTACCAGTTAGGGATTTTTAATGGTCAGAAAATTAGTTTTAGGTAAAATTATTACAGGTGTATCAGTTTAGGATTTTTGATGGTCAAAAAATTAATTCGAGGTAAAATTGTCAAATTAGTTATGGATAAAATTGTCACTGATATACCCGCCAGGGTTTTTTATTAATCCTACAACTTCGGGTCGTAAGATGGATATATGCACCGAAAGTCCTAAAACTTCACACAATGGGCGAGAGTGTAATTAAACCCTACAACTTGCAAAAAGTGCAATCAAATTATACAATTTATTAAATTGGTGTAATCAAGTCAATTCGTTAACTCCGTCAAACTCACATGACCGAAGCAATTTAAAACGCTTTTATATGTTTTTTTATATTTTTTCTCTCTCATACGTGATGATGACATAGCCAAAACGATGTCGTTTTGATCCAAATCTAATATTTTATACAAATTTATTTAATTTAAAATTAAAATAATAATTTAAACCAAAAAAATAAGCAAAAAAAAAAAAAAGGTTGGAAAGTCGGTGGTAGGGCTACAAAGCCCTAGCTTGGAGGCCGCTAGTGGCGGCCCTCGACTAAAATCAATGGCTTGCCTGGATCAGCTGAGTTAACCACGAATCTAAGTCTAAGCATTGAGGATCCACGCACAATCTTTGTGGACCAAGGCCTAAGGGTTGGGACTAGAGCTCAAGCGTTGAGGACGGAGCACAACCTTTATGGACCCGAGTTTCGAGTGCTAGAGCATCGGGTACAAGTACCGGGGGTTGAAGTTTGGCCTTGATGGACTTGGGCGTGGGTGTCAGGGGCCTAGGCCCTAGCACCGCGGTCCCGACCCTAGCCTCAATGAACTCAAGCTTGGCCGGAGACCCGATCCTGAACGTTGGGATCCGATCCTAAACACCGGGCCCCGAGAAATAATCTAGGGGTTTATGTTCTTAAGTATAGAGTTTCGAATTAAGCACCAATATCAAGTCATATTTTGTAAAACATTTGTTCTCTGAATTTAAGCTCTGATAGAAAAATATTTTTGTTGATTAAAAAAGTTTTTGATAAAAAAATATTTTTTGTTGATTAAGAAATTTTCTATCGAAAAATGTTTTTAGGATAGTAAATTTATCACGGATGTACGGGTTCATGATTTTTGTTATCGAAAAATTAATTTAAGGTAAATTTATTACAGGCGTACTAATTTGAGATTTTTTTTGGGATAGTAATCCAAATAGCAAAACATAAAATTAGGACGAAATGTTAAAATCGTGGCGTGGGCGGAAAATGTTGTTAAAATTAAAACGGGCATTTACCCGGACCCGCAAAATCCTACGTGGACACCAAAAGGGCACAAGCAACGGAACCGGATATTTCTTCCCAAAATTCCAGTGAAGAAGAAGAAGATATCCTCCCTCCCTCCTCCTCCTCCCTCCCTCCCTCGAGCTCCAGCTCCAGCTCCAGCTCCATAGTCTCTCCTTCAGTCCACCTCTCTCTCTCTCTCCGTTTTTCGCGCCAAATTTTGAGAAATTTCCGATTCAGTTTCGAGTTCTGCGCCGACGCGGCGACTCCAATCTCGTCGTGCCTTCGCCGACGCCGTTGCGGCGACGAGGTTTCTCCGTCGCGGTCGATGGGAACTCTCGCGAGCTGGAGCTTCGGCGCCCTCAACATCAAGCTCCGCTCGTCTCCCGTGGCCCGCGCTCCCCGCGGCGGCGCCGGCGGCGTCGGAGCTCGGTCTCTCGAGCCCGCGAGGCCGAGGGGCTCGTGCCTTCTGTGCGGGAGTGGCGTTTCGGTTTCGTGTAGGAGGTTGGATAGGTTCAGGCGATTCAGCAGCGGTGGCGGCGGCGGTGGCGGAGATGGCGATTATGGACCGGAGAGCGAGAGCGACTCGGGGAAAGAGTCGAGCGTGACCACGACTGCGCCGCCGCCGCCCGAAGAGGCTGAAGAGACAAGCCGCGCCGAGTTCGAGTCCGAGAAGATCCGGTCGAGGGTACTCGTCTTGATTCTCTAGTTCTCTAGTTGGTGTAATGATTGGTTGCGTTGGATTGTCGATGAGCTAAATCGGTGAGGCAAGAGTGATTTGGATTGAGTACTGAGTAGCTGTGAATTGTTTGAAATGAATCTAGATGTGCTCATGCTAGTTGGATTGAAAAGTGCCTTCACTGAGTAAGCACGTCCTTAAGTTTGTACTTAAGGTGTGTTACTTACTGCCGTGCATAGTTACTTCTGGAAGGTAGTTCCATCAGAAAAATTGTCCTGAGCGTTATTTCTAAGAATGATATCCTGCATTTCCTTTTCCACATCATTGCCAGGAACCAAAAACACTCTACAGCATTCGCCTGAAAATTTTTATACGTTCGTGCTTTATGGAATAGTATCTTTTTCCTGAAACTATTAGAGGAAGCTGTTTACCGAATTGCAGTACACTGTGTTGCTTTAATTTTGACCTCAGTGAATCTGCTGGTCAGTGCACAATACATGCAATTCAGGGTTTTAATTCTTGCGCCTCCTCTTTTCAAAATTACCAAGTTATGAACCGAATGTCAACGAGAGAGAAAAGAGAAAGAGACAAAGGAGCAGAGTCAGCTCATCACAAAAGCTACATAATATTAATCTGATGAGTATCAAATGTTTTATAACTCTTCCAGCTGCCAGAAACACCTTCATTTGGACCGACTTACACTAGCTTTCAAGTAGACTCTTTTAAGCTTCTGGAGCTTCTTGGACCGGAAAAAGTTGATCCTGCTGATGTGAAGCTACTCAAAGAAAAGCTCTTTGGCTACTCAACATTTTGGGTTACAAAAGAAGAGCCATTTGGAGATCTGGGTGAAGGTATACTTTTCCTTGGAAATCTCAGGGCAAAGAGAGAAGATGTGTTTGCCAAGCTGCAAAAACAGCTGGTTGAAGTCACTGGAGATAAGTACAATCTTTTCATGGTTGAGGAACCCAACTCAGAAGGACCTGACCCTCGAGGAGGGCCACGTGTTAGCTTTGGTTTGTTGAGGAAAGAGGTCTCAGAACCAAGACCAACAACTCTTTGGCAGTATGTGATAGCTCTATTGCTATTTCTCTTGACCATCGGTTCATCAGTGGAGTTGGGAATTGTATCTCAGGTATTTAGCAACTAATAATACCGCTCAACTCTGTACTCCCTGATCCTTGCACCTTGCTGCCTTTTTTTTTGTTATCTTTTAAGTGCTGTTGTGAGAATCACCAATGAATTTTTTCATGTGCTAAAAGTAAGTCCTTATCTCCATGTATTTAACTGCACAGATAAATCGTCTTCCACCCGAAGTTGTGAAATACTTCACTGATCCAGATGCTGCTGAACCACCAGATATGGCGTTGCTATATCCATTTGTGGACTCTGCGTTGCCCCTAGCTTATGGTGTCTTGGGGGTTCTAATATTTCATGTAAGAAATGCCTCTCTGTCCTTCTTTTGGGATGAAATACTTTTTATAAATAATGGTTTGATATTTTTTTTCCATGGTATATATCCTGTCTGTATAGTAATTGTCTTTTTGATCCATTGTTTTAATTTGGTGGTCATAATTATATGCTGTGAGTCTCAAATCAACTGCCAATTAAATGTCTCTCTGCGTAGTACCTCTAAGATATTTTGGACATATTTATAGGAACATGATAAAATGTACTAAATCCCAGCGAAGGAGTACTTCGTACAAGTGTAAGAGTTAAAGCTAACCACCAAGGGGCAAGGGCCACCGTTTCTCATTAGAAGGATTTTTTTTTTTTTTGCCGCCGGGGGGTGGGGCGGGATGAAATAGCCTATGAGCTAGAGGGGAGTCTAGCAAAAATATTTTAAGTATTCACGTCATTATTGATTTCTAAACTCATTGGATCCAGTTTTCATGTTCTAGGCATCAAAGCATGGACGTGTTTTTAACTGCTCGAAAGTTATTTCGGAACTATATACCTTGGCTCTATTCATACATGAAAGAGTTGTTTGTGTAGGAAGTTGGGCATTTGCTTGCTGCCTTTCCAAAGAAAGTTAAGTTGAGCATTCCTTACTTTATTCCCAACATCACTCTTGGAAGTTTTGGTGCCATTACTCAGGTGAGTAGTCTTTTGACTCATTTAAATGGTTATTCCAGTTGATACAGGCAATGTTAGTGACAAATGCCCTTTTAGAGAATGAAATTGATGTGCTGATAAGCATAGTTTTGCATTGGCTTTGATGTCGCTGAAGATGTAACTCACAACATCTTTTGGAGCCAAGTTTCTGCTATTTGACATTACTGTGGTAAAACAAAAGCAATCATTACCTCCTGTTGGTCAAGTAACATCCTTTTGCAGCCATCATGCTGTCCTAATATGCTAGTCATTAGCAGGTTGATTTTGTAATTGGCTTGTCAAATACATTTCAAACCCACTATCACCGGCTTCCCAGTGAGCTTCTCTGGTGATGCTTTACCTAGATCAGCAATGCCCAATTTTTGGCACAGCCTTTCTCAACCTATCTGCTGGTATACATTACACATAATAATTTTAGAGTATAGTTGTTTAACATAATCAGCAAGCTGGAAAACAGTGCTCTCTTTGGCTTATTGTGATAATTTAGTATTCTAATCCTAGATTTAGAATGTGACTTCATTATAGTTATATTAATATCATTTCTGCCTTCTCTTCATTGTCAAGTCTGTCCACGGCTAACTTCAGCCTTTTTAGTATGTGGATGTCCACATAAATGGTATAACCTTTACTGGGCTTGCAGTCATACTATACCTGGGTTCATGTTACTCAAAAATTTTATATTTCATTATAGATACACTTCATTTAAGTCTATAGCATAATTTTATGACATTGTAAGATGCATGGGTATCATAAGAATGCTGGTTTTTCCTTTTCTATTGCTTTTTTTTAAAAGCAAAGCTAGACATCTCTTTATTGACCAATGTACTTCTAACTTTGCTCAAAAAGTTCTGTTGATCAGTCAGAGTAGTGCACTTGAAAATTGCATAAGTATGTCACTAGATGGTGAAGTAATCTTCTAGAAAGGATATAAAGTGCTGTTTCTTCTGCAAATACTGCCGAAGTCCTTTTTACCCTACATGATTTCAATTTCTGCAGTTCAAGTCCATCCTTCCTGATCGGAGTACAAAAGTCGACATTTCTTTGGCTGGGCCTTTTGCTGGTGCTGCACTCTCTTTCTCAATGTTCATCGTTGGTCTTCTGCTTTCATCGAACCCTGATACTTCTGGAGATTTGGTGCCAGTTCCCAGTATGTTGTTTCAAGGTTCTTTGCTTCTTGGACTCATCAGTAGAGCAACTCTTGGTTATGCGTATGTCTCCCTTCTATCAGCTTTACATTCTTGGCAATTTGCTGGAGACATGTACCTTCTCCAAGATTCTGATGTATGCTTTGCCATTTTAAACATGCAGGGCAATGCATGCTGCTACTGTTTCAATTCATCCTCTGGTTATTGTAGGATGGTAATTGGATTCCGCAACCACTTTGATGCAATATGTCATCCCATGCTTTGTGATGCGCGAGTGTTTATCTTCTAGCCACGTGTTTCAGGTGTGGATTGACAACATCAGCCTTCAATATGCTTCCAGTAGGATGCTTAGATGGTGGAAGAGCTGTGCAGGTATATCTGCTTGCTTGGGGTTGGAAAAGTAGGTCAATTAGAGTGAGTTTGTTGGTGAAAGTGATGCTAGCAGCAATGACAACTAGAAGAACTGATGCATTAGCAGCATTTTTATTTTAGAAAAAAAAGACGGAACTTCAAAAGCATATGATAATATAACAACCATGTTGAAATGGAGAGGCGGTTAACCTTGGAAATTACTTTATTAGAATTTGGAACTTCACTAAACAGCGAAGAAATTGTAACTTGATTGAGCATATTCCATCTAAGTTTTGCAGTTGAAGTTAACTTTGAGCACTGCAGTAGTGGGAGCTTTTGTTTTGGGGAGATCTAATCACCAGTGCAAGAGATTATTCTTTCTTGGCTATCTAGTTGCTTTACCTTTGTCAGCTTCTAGACGTAATTTGATTCCTTAGTGTCTCAAAAGCATATGTCATGCAATGTTGAAGCTGCCAGGTCATATCCAATGCTCTCTATTTGCACGCACAAGCTGTCTACTGAATGGCTTTACCAATCTATGTTGGATGCTTAAGGATTATTTTATTGCATTTTCGGAAGTATTTGGTGACAAGATTTTTGCGAGGAGTGGAATTCACATGTGCCATGACTAAGAATTTAGAACTTGTGTTGTCTTTCGTTTTTAGTGTATCTCTGGAGATTAGTACCCCGTTCGAACTTTCAATTGTGTTATTCCTTATCCATTTGGCATTGAATTCTTACACTCGTGCAGGGTGCCTTTGGTAAAAGTGCTCTACTAGGATCTGGTCTGACCAGTTACACAATGTTGGGATTAGGAGTGGTGAGTCTCTTATTTCTGTTACTTTCTTTGCTAAAAATATACGAGCTTTGGTACTCTATCCATCTGCATTCATTATCACATATGCATCTGCAAGAAGCTACGGTGTCCCTGGTTTGGAAACTTGAAGGTGGTTTTTCTAGTTCTGGGTTCACTCATATAACCTGATGTCCACTGTCAGCATTGTTGTTTCCTGATTTGTCATGACATCCTACTTTCCATGCAAAAGTTTTGATTGGACTTTTGCTTTCTTCCAGTTGGGTGGACCTCTGTCACTTCCTTGGGGGCTTTATGTTCTGATATGTCAGGTACGCACGATCTTCGATTAAAAATGTGGCCCTGCAATTTGAGGCTCAAAAGGTCGAGTGCGCGCCTTTTCGCTCACTCCTCATCTTTGTACAGAGAACCCCAGAGAAACCATGCTTGAACGATGTATCAGAAGTTGGGACATGGAGGAAAGCAGTGGTGGTAGCAGCTATCGTGCTCGTCGTGCTGACGCTCCTCCCAATATGGGACGAGCTCGCAGAAGAGCTAGGTGTAGGCCTTGTAACAACATTCTGATGTATGGTGGCGAAACGGAGAGAGTACATAAGAGCAACGTTGGTTCAGCCCTTCAAAGCACAGATCGACAGCAATTTTTGAAACGATAGTCAATAAAAAAGTCCGCCCGATATTTACTTTTTTCATTTTTCGAGCCAACCGCTGTGAAGTCCCAGTAATATTTTCACCCCCAATTTTGCTGTACCAGTTTTCTCGCAAGGCCGAACGACATGATTCATAAAATAATCACTTCCAACGTTGGGGTCTCAGTTTCTGTCCAAAGAATTTGCGAAGAGAATGCGTCCTGAAAAGAAATTCAAACAGAAACATCCTTCAAATTTCCTGGCTTCTTAAAATCGAGCACTTCTAATTAACCTTCCGTCCGCATACAAACCTTGATTGTTACTTTGGGTAGGGGCCGCGCGAACGCAGGCCCCCGCTGCCACAAATTATGACGTAGGCTCAGCCACTTGGGCTGACCTTAGGCGGGCGCCCCTCCGACAGTGCAATGGAGGTCGCCAACCTAGGCCATGGGCCTACATGATCGCCCATCGACCCCGTCCAGGTAAGTATGTTGCTCTCTCCCCTTAGCCCCTTTCTTATAAGATGCTTTCCCTCTCTTTCTCAACTCCCTATCCAATGTGGGAGACTCCGAACTAACGAAAGGAAGAGACAAAACGAAAAAAAAACTGTGCCGGTCACGATGCTAAAAAAACAAGTTTCTTGTCATTCCCATCACTGACATGGAAATGGATGGCCTTTGTACTACGAATGAGAGGGAGAACATGAAACCCACGCCGGGGTTTATAAATTGGTCCCATTTCCTAGAAACTCTCTTCACCTTCCCCGGAAAATTTCCTCCGCGAAGATGGCGGGCGCATGGCTCTCCTCCTCCTCCTCCTCCTCCACCTCGTCTTCGTCCCTGGGCGGGTGCGGGAACTGCCGAAGGGGCTCCAGGGTGTGAGAGGACGCCGCGGCCTCCGCGGCGGCGGCGGCGGCGCCGATGTCGAAGCTGCTGGCGGCGCCGGCGAAGCCGCTGATGTTGATGAAGTTGTTGGAGGTGGCGGAGGAGTTGTTGGAGTACTCCGGTTGCTGCAGCATCGGGAGGTGGTAAGGGTGCGCCGGCTGGGGCGGCTGCATCTCCGGGGTCTGGAAGGCGCTCGCCACCGCGTATCGGCTGCTCATCAGCTGCGTCTGCACCAGCGAGAGCTCGGCTTGCAGGGTCGCCACCTGCAGACGTAAGCATGACTTTGTGAAGATATAACTCTCATTAGTTTGTTCTCCGGTGTTGAAAAAGATTGCGGAATACGCGGATGCTACTGGCAATCAATGGGAAACAGATCAGAGTCAGCTTCAAGAGAGAAATGAATGCTGTGAATCAGTCACCTCATCAGCTATTGTGAACCCATTTGAGTTTTTTTTTTGGTTCTTTTCTCCCTGTGCTGGATTAGGTACCGATACTTAGCAGTCCTAGATCCTAGCCCAGCATTTGACAAGGATTGGATCCCTATTATGGCCAAACAAACGAGGAGGAATTGCCAAGCACTTCGTCTAAATCCATCCGAAACAAAGTTTAGAACCTGGGTTAGAATCACGTTTCGCTTTCTTATTTCAAACAATCCTCACAATTTTTTGTTATGTTTTTGCTGACAGGCTTTCCATCAAGGTGTGAAATGGTCCGAGGGTAAAGAGTTTGTGCTATTATAGGTAGAAAGATTGATTTTTTATACAATTGTATTAGTGGGATCGGCAAGCCGTTCTATCTTACTTTAGGAGAATTGAAAACTTTCAAATCCTAAGGAGATACGCTGGATTTGTCCAATGAATACATTGTACACAAAGGATTAATTGTCTGTGTTAAAGTTCCTGGTAGAAAATCTCTATGGAATCAGCCATCAAGTCAAGCAGAGCAAAAAGGGGAAGGTAATTCAAACCCCAAAGTTTGACTATCTCCTTATTTGCTGTCGGAGCTGCGTTTGTTCTGCATCATTGATTCAGAGGAATTTAACAAGATTTTGCACAAAAGTCTGTGTTTTTGTGAACCTGTTGTTGCAATGCAAGGATGGTCGACACGCAGCCATAAACGGGATCTGCCAGCCTCGCCTGGGCTTCGTACGAGATCGTCACGACCGCATCCTGCCTCCGGTTGACGGGAATGTGAAGGAGCAGCTTGGACACATTACTCGCCCCAAACACCTTGTGCACAGCGGCAAATTTAGCTGCACCCTGATCCGACCCGAAATAGGGGGCGAATATGCACCCGCTGATGCACTTCCTCCTCAAGAACTTGCACGCCCCGCATGGAGCCCCAAGAGGAGGCGCTGCCACCTCCTCGGCCGCCAATTCCCCGGGGGGAACGGCACGCCTAGCTGTGCCACGGCCCTTGTGCTGTTCATCTGACATGCCATCACCTTGCATCCTGTCCATGCTGAGGGTGGTGCCGATCCTTTTGTTGGTGGTAGTGGGTGAATCAAAAAGGAGAAGGTTGTGGTAGATGTTACTTAATGCAATATGTAAGAGAGAAGAGGGCGGTGGCTAGTGTCCAAATGGCAAAAAAGGAAAAGCGGACGATGGCACGTTGCTCGCGTGAAGAGCCCTGGTGAGGCGAGGCGAGGCGAGGCAAGTTGAATGAGGTAATAGAGAGAGAGAGAGAGAGAGAGAGAGAGAGAGAGAGAGAGAGAGAGAGAGAGAGAGAGAGAGAGACGTTATGTTTGGTGAGAGATGGAGAAGAGAGAGACATGGGAAGAGTCTGGTCAGGGGTGAAGTGACATTAGCAAAAGAGAGTGAGTTCATATTTCACCCTGAGAAAAATGGGGAAGAATTAAATGAAGATCAATAATTAATTGGTGAAAATCGGTTGTGTGTGAAGAGGAAGAAGATTGTGCTTGTGTTGCTGGAGGAAGGTGCAAGAATTGTGCTTCCCGTGGCGTGTGGAATGCTAGGAACTAGGCGTGCATGCATATCTTACCAATTACCATGTATGAATGAACAAGAGAGCAAACGTTGGATCGACAAAGTTTCTCTTTATTTTCTTGTTTTTGCATACTTAAATATAAACGGAAGTTATGGTATGTTAAATAATCATGATTTGTCATGCTTTTTAAGCATGTCCACTCAACTGAAACACATTCTGTCTCCCTTCTCTAATGTGAACTGACAAGCTGAAATCATGCTTAAGCTCTTATTATAGCTGATACCGACATAATATCGGTAGTTCAATCTAATGGCCAAGAATTTGCAAAGAGAATTTCTTTTCCTTGGTAGAATCTAAGTAGCTATGTCCTTTCTATGCCTTAATTATATATCAGAATCTCAAGCACCAAACACAATGTAATTCTCAGTTACACGTTTTCAAGCTTTTGGATGCTACCTGCAAAGATAATCCAGTTAATGGTTTCTGAATTTCATCTGTTCCTGTTACTCATTGAAAGACACTTAATAACAGGAAATTTGTGCAAATGAGTTGTTTCAGTTTCATTTTCACCCTAAAGTAGAGTTGCTCATCATTAAAATGTAAAAACAGACACCACATACCACAAATATGCCAGCCAGATAGTTATGATGCAGTTTTACACAATCGACTATCCATAACATCGGTGAATGTACATCTATTGAATACATCCCAATAGAACATAAAAGGGCGATGCTAGGAAGATTGTGGAATTTCTCATAGTAATGAGTATAAGAAAAGGTACATTTGATTGACCACTTGTGCAGGAGTCGAGCACAAGAGCTGCTTTCCCTATTTCACGGAGCTTGTAATATACAGGATGCACACTGTCTCCAGTTGCACAGAAAACTTACAAAATTGCAAGAAAGCATAACCGAGCAAGGAGAAACTTGAACTAATGTATACTTATCAAGCCAAAGAAAAAAATAAAAGTGGAGCACAAGCCGGAAAAATCTCCCTGAAAATAACATCTTGATTTACTTGTGTTTTCCCGTTTTGCTCTTTTAATTCCCTCAACTGCAAACCAAAATGCGTCACAATTACTAATTTGAATAGAATGCCAGTACAATGCATGAAGTTTTAAATAATGGTTTTTCTTTCTTTTATAATGTGTTTCTATAAGGTTTCTCTCTTTTTCTAGTGATGGCGTTTCCAAAAGTTGTAGTAATTTACTATCTTATAAAGTAGTTTGAGAATTTCAAACACAACTGGTTAGAGCCATCGAACACCATTCAAGTTTTCAAGAAGACCTGTTCATCATTTTTGGTGCATTCATTGACATCCAAATGGGATTATAGACGAGTCAGACATTTATATTCTTGTAAGAAGGAAAGCAAGTAGGTAATCGGCAACATTTCAAATCGACTTCCTGTTCTATCGAGGATGGGACAAAGAATAAGAACCTCATCGGAAGGAGAGATGTAGGCCCAGTTGTTGTGAAGGGGACGTCGGAGACCCTTCACTGCTCTGTGAGTCTCCACGCCATGCATCTTGGACCTGAGCAGCGAATTGCAAGTTCCACAGCACATCCTCAATAGATGGTCTATCCGCGGGTTCCTTGTTCAAACATCTCACGCAAATTTCCATCATAGTTTTCAATGATTGGTCTGAGCATGCTCTTTGAATTGAAGAATCAACGGAGCTCCTTCTAGTGGTATCATCACCCATCATACTCGATTGTAGCTACAAGATGTTCAGTGACGCCATATTACCAAAAATGAGGAAGAAAAAAAGGTTTGAGGCCAACTAAAAAACGTAACATAGATTGACATTCGTGAAGCTATCTGCACATACAATTTTTGGTACTCTTTCTGAACAAAAATGTGCATGACAGGGTGAAATTTTTAAGCATTGCAATTGATGGAGAATAAACGACTTGTGACACGAAAGCAATCCTGTAAACTTTATTTTGCAATCCACTGAAAAATGATCAAGGAATAAATGAGTTTGAATTATTCTGGAAACTTGCAAGAGCAAGACCATAAGTATTTTCCACTATCTAATGCAAGAAATTGGGCTTGTGCAAAGCGCTTGCAACTGAGTAGGCCGAGAACATTCAAAGCACCATCCACAAATCTTGAAAAAATTGCTTGGTGGTTGATAATAAAATGAGAAAACTGGAACTGCCCTTACTTGATCTTTTACAACATCAACTTCACTGTTTGACCTGAATGGCGTTCCTGATATAATCTCCAGCAGGATTACTCCAAAGTCATAGATATCTGTCTTATCCTGGTGTTTTGTCCTGAAAAATTGTAAACTCGGAGGAAATTACACTGTGGATGCATACAAGGTAACTAAGGTGTTCAATGATATTTATTCAAAATACACCAGTTATCATGCAGTTTTGACTCCTATGGCAGAGAAAGCAATGCTGTATCAAACAGAGACACCGTACCAGAGGAATGCATGTATTTTGGGATAAAAAAAGATTTTGTCCTTGTTGTGCAAACCATTATATTGTTTTATCCGTGAGTTAGTGTGTTGGATATTTTATGGTTGTTATCAAATGTATAAGCACCACAGAAGGATTCACCGAAACATTCAAGCTTCATTAAGTCACGCACCTAGCAACTATTTCCTTGGATCCTCCAGAAGGCAACTTACTACCCTCCTGCAGAAAAAAAGAATATCTTAGCAGCGACCTATGATGTTCCCAAATAGAAAAGCATAAAGAGCCACATCCAGTTTTTTTGTGGTACCTTCCCCACTTCCTCTGCTAATAATGGAAGGCTATAGCTGCTTATTTTGGTGACAAGATTCAGATCGACGAGAATATCAGTTATTTTCAAGTTGTTCGAGTACAAACCGGGCACAATCCCAGTATGTAGAAATTGAATGCCCTTCGCTACCCCGATTGCAGCACCTATCCTTTGTGACCAGGTGAGTGATTGCCTAGCACGCCGCCCTGCCAAACATGTCCAAAGATACATAATCAATCCATATCGAGAAGTTCTGAACAAAAATAATTTCTCTGCCTAACAGATAACAAGAAGAAAGCAGAATAACTAGATTATACAGGTATAGCTGGATCAAACAAGACCATCACATATATGGTCCAACCAAGACATAAAGCGAAATTCTAGAATTACCCGAGATCCAGCTCCTTAATGTACCATTTGGTACGTATTCGAACACAAGAAAGATTCTGCTCACACTCGAATCATCCCAGTAACACTCAAAGCAGTGTCCAAGAGCACTGACAACATGGCGATGTCTAAGTTTCGAAATTAACTCAATGTGGTGCATGAAGTGCTGAAGGCTCTGGCTTTTCTTAACTTTCAGGCATTTGATGGCTACGAGAGACCCGTTCTTCAGCTGACCTCTGTACATCTGAAACCATAACAAAGAGAGGCATGGAATTCTGACATAGAGAATCACTATATAAGAGCTCCACATTCAGACATGAAAATATCACAATCACTTTAGACAATGCTCACACTGATGAGATACTACTTAAATGGGGCAAAGACAATAACGAATCATGATCTAACATGCTTCTTGAATCATTCTTTCCAAAATTTTAAGTAGGAAAATGCTTTATCTTGATCCAAATACACAGTGCAGATCTCATTCTACATAAAGTCAACATCACTGATCAGCAGTTGCTGGAAGTAGGCAGGAATTTCTTCTTATGGTCTAAAAGCCGAGATTTATCATGCCAAAAAGGACCACATAGAAGCATATTAAACAAAGAGAATATAGATTAGATAGCATACCTGGCCACGAGAACCTTCACCCATGAAAGCAGATGTATCAAAGTTGCCTGTGGCCTCTTCAATCTCCTCCAAAGAAAAGGTTCGGTAAGGTGGAAGCCCAAGTGCTCCGAGCTTCATAGTTTGAGATATGTATCCTTCACATGGACATAATGAAAAATATCAGACTCTTTGTGCTTTGTATGTGGAACTTAAGTTATAAGATGTGAAAATAGGTTCTTCTTTTCATGATGGGTTTTCGTTCTCAATCATTTCTGGCACATGCATTGTACAGTTCTTCTCTCGCCAAAGAACATAAGGACAACCGAGCTCTGTTTGTCCATGATAGTCAAAAGGCACTTAAAACCTCCAGGAGATGCAGACAGTCTCAGGTCAGTCCAATTTTTGTTTTTTGGCCAGTCCAAGTTGAAGTAGGTGATTATATATCAGGTTCACTAAAATAATTTTTTACCGTCACATGGCAGAAATACTAAAGGGCATGCATTGTACAATTCTTCTTTCAATGGAAGAATAATGAAGAATCAAGCTATGTTTGTTGAACCTCTAGGGCACGCACATGTCTGGGTCAGTGAAAGTTAAAGTAGGTGGTTATTTCTATCATGTTCGGCAAGATAAAGTTTACAATCTCACAAAGCAATACTGAAAAAGCTCTTCTGCACTCACTAGAGAATCTTTACTGATTCAAAGAGAAAAGAATCAAGGATGAATGTACCACATTGATATTTAGATTCCACTTACTGATTTCTCTGCAACCATGTTGTTCTTTTTACTCTCATTAATTCTTTTGGGATGAAGTATAAATAATGTAGTGCCGTAAGTAATTTATAAATGTTGGCGGAAAAGAAAACTCTTCTAGAATGCTTGGGTCCCCTTAGACAGTCAATACATAATATGAGAAGCCAAAGAGGCATACAGATACATTGATCTCCTCTTATGTGGACAGGTATTCTTTCATATGTATTTCAAGCACAAGCACAGTTCTAATGCAGAGAGAGAGAGAGAGAGAGAGAGAGAGAGAGAGAGAGAGAGAGATCACTCACTGGCATCGGTGAGCAACTTTGAGGTGTACCCAGACCCAGTTGATGCATTCTCAGTTATCAGCCTCGTAGGAGGTGATTTATTTGCCTTCCTGGCTGTAGGTCTTTTGATAGCCAAAAATATTAGACCGACAAGCAGGATTCCTCCCAAGATCCCCCCGACAACGCCCAAGGCAAGAACTGTTTTAGCCGCTTGTTTCCGCTTCTTCTGGCCAGGCACTATGCCAACAGCTAAAGCCTCGTTTCGGCAAAATGAAAGAGGCTGTTGATCTTGATTGTCAGCGGCCAAACAATTCTTAGCATATGAGACATCACGCTTCTTTGAATCAGACAGACAATCAGGCAACCTTCCCGTCAAAAGATTGGATGATAAATCCACAAATGTCAATTCATCATTGCAAGACTGATATTCAGAAAGCATGCCCGTCAGTTTGTTTCCTGCGATATTCAGATAAATAATAGAGGGGAGAACTAGCAAAAACTGCGGGAATGGTCCAATGAAACTATTAAAGGAGATATCTAGATGCTCAAGCTGATAATATGAGCTCAGTTCAGAAGGAAGCCCAGATCTGAACTTGTTCTCGCTGAGTATGAGAGTGACCAACCTATTACCAAGATTCGGAAATTGACCTTCGAAAGCATTATCTCCCAAGTCAAGAACTTGAAGATTTCTCAAACTGATTAAGTCCGGCACTTTGTCAGATAAATGATTATGTGACAGCGAGAGAACTCTGAGATTCTCCAAATTACTCAAAGCATCAGGCAGAGACCCATTCAATGAATTTTGTCTCAGACTTAGCACGGTCAAATTCAGGAGCTTACCAGTCCAATCTGGTAGTGGACCAGAGAACATGTTCTCATCAAGAATGAGTGTTTGAAGGCTTTTTAAAGACGAAAGCTCGTAGGGAAGTGCACCATACAAGAAATTAGAGCTCACGTTGAATATCTCAAGTGATGAAAGCCGTGCGATTTTACCAGACAAAGGCCCCCACAAGCCCAGAGAAACTAGTGTGAGGACCTTCAAATTAGGAAGCTTTACCAGCGTCGTCACAAAGGAATCCATGGAAAAGTTTTGAGGCAATGCAGGAGCTCCTTTCTCACCTATTATGATAAGCTGTGTCACACTTTTTTCATAGCACACGATAGTGAGAGATGAATTGGGCTCGGTATTGCAGAAATCCGTGCCGTCAGTCCAGCCGCTTAAAACAGGTGGATTGTCCAAAAGATATTGAATTCTCAGAAGGGTCTGGACCTGGGAAGACTGAAGCTGTTCTGTCGGGCGCATTGAGAGAAAAATAATGGCAAGAACCAGAAATGCATATATATCGAATGCTTTTGCCATTGCTCTGACACGGCAGTAGAACACACAAGACATCACATAATTCCCTCAAGACAGAAGATGAATATATTGCAGACCGAACACCTGCAGAAATAGCAGGTGGACATTTGAGATGCCCTCGTGGGTTCTACAAAAATTATGAAACTTAGTCCTTGTCAATTGCTGAACTTTTGGTCCTCAAGACTAAAATAGAGGTCTGCAATCATAATTATCATGGATCTTGTTAAAGAACTGACATAAGATACGATAGCTGCCGTCATAAAATTAAAGAAGATTTTTCGTACAATTTGTCCATTGAGAGAGAAGAGAGAGAGAGAGTACTTCTATTTCTTTCAAGGTCTGGTCCAATTCAACCAACTTCAAGCAAGCTGAGGCCTCTGTTTCAAGTTCTGTACTTTGCCTAGTTATTTTGGTTCAGATAATATTAATGCTTGAGCAAAAAACTCACCTTTATGTTGTCAATGAACATGAACAAATGGATCCACTTAACAGTAGAGCTCCTTCAATAGCCTTCTGAAACAGCCCCTGAAACAAACTTCGGAAAACACACTAATTTTCGGCAGCAAGCATCAAAATCCCAACACAAACTTCTCCTGCAGAGACCCACTCTTACCCGAGCTCTTCATTTCACCTGGTTACAGGAGGGAAAAAGGAAAACAAAGAAAAAGAACTTACATTAAGCTTCCACTTTAACGAAGTAAAGACAGAGCCTGAAGTAAAATTCAAAGGAAAAAAAAAACCCAGATGGCTTACGATAATGAAGCATCGAAAAAAATGAAATCTCATCCACACCACACACTTGTAAGCAGCTTTACTATCCTTTGTCCTTCAAACTCAGGGTCATGTGATTCTTCCCCAGAGACCCAGAGACTGTATTTACTTCAGGGCTTCAGTGACACTCTCTCGTTACATTGATTGATAGCAGGACGACAAAGTGACACGGGTTTGCTCAATGGCAACTCAAACGCACCCGTAACACAATGCGAGAGGGTGACCTGGAAATCCCACAAACCGACATTTCTGTCACTTTCTTCGGAACACCCCTTCAAACGAAAAAGAAGAAAAGAAAAAGAGCGCAAACCCCTTGCTACCTTTAAACTAGTTTCGCTATTATTTTGCACTTTCTGTGGTATGTGTGTGGAGAGAGAGAGAGGAGGATTCTAGCAGAAGATGGCCCTTTATTCCTCTCGCTTTCAGAGCAACAACGCATCGCTGTCCGTCTCCGTCTCCGTCTCCCTCTTTTCCCGTACGTGGAGGCCAACCCATTTCAACAGAGCTGCACAATCTCTGTAGGGGGGAAAAAAAGGCAATAAAAGGAGAGATTTTGAAATTGTAAAAGAATTGACAAGAGGGCGGGGAATGCACAGAAGGGTTCAACGCAAGCTTTCGCTTTCGCAGTCTGGTGAGGCTTGGCTTTCTGCCGTCCCGTCATTGCTGCAATTTCTGTGCTATCGAAGTGGACCCTCCACCGCCACCGCTCCCCCTTCCTACTCTCCTTTGCTTTTGGCGCCACACCCTCTCTTTCTCTCCTCTCTCTACAGTGCTATTACCAGTGGATGCTCGTTTGAACAAAAGAGACAACGGTTGAATAGTTGACGGTTAATACCGCAAAGTGAATAGCAATGCTTCTCCTGCCTTTTTGCCTTCCTGTCTCTCCCCATCAAAAGGAAAAACCTTGGATGACCCAGATTCCGGTTTGGTTTTGCAAAAAGAATGTATGTTTTCCTAGTTTACGTGAAATCATTTGATCATGTCGTGTTCACGTGCGCTCCACCTGATCCAGAGGTGAGTCACTGCACTCCAAGTGTACAAGTATGTCCCAAGCCAATCCTCCCAACATTTTCTGTGATATTTTCGGTCCGCATCATGCGTTTTACTTGGATGGACAACATTTCATCGATTGCGTTAGTTTGCTTTCAATTTCTCAAAATAATTAGAATTTGTTTTGTTATACCGCCCCCTTAACTAGAGTTACATCTTTTGAAAATGATGGTGTGATTGCCACGAGACACCGATGTTTTCAGTCCATGTCATTCATTCATTCATTCATTTAATTAGGTGGGTAACATCTGATTGGTTCATTAGTTCAATTTCAATCTTTCAAATAATCAATTAAAAAAAATTATTTCCACTCCTCAATTAGGAATTAGATCAATTTTTCGTAATACTGACGGGGTAACCACATGACAATGACACTGTATTTAGAAAGTTGCCTATGTGAAAGTGCATGGATTTCGAACACATGACAATCGATGCATTATTGAAATCAGAGTTCAAAGACTTGATTGCAGCATTTACTTGCTGCTCCCTTACTACCGACGGAATGTATCCTTCATTTGGGACTCTTATCCTCAATGTCTTCCACTAGTAAGTTGGATTGAAGATCTATAATTAGCATCAACACATAATTGTGGGAATAGAAAGATTGGAGCAAGAGCATTTGCTATAATAGAGGAAAACTTATCTGAAACTAAATAATATTTGCGATATTGATGAACAATAACAGTCAATTATTCTTAAACCGATCTTTTATTTCTTGTCGTAACGAGTCAACTTTCACAATTTCCAGTACTGAGTGACAGAGAATACCGAGTCGGCCTTGGCCTCTACATTAGGCATAGGAAGAGAGAGCATGGGTCAGTAACGGAGCCTGCTTGATAGGAACAGAGGCAAAAAGGAAGAGAAGAGAGGGAATTTTGAAAGCTCTAACAAATGGAACTCGCCTGGACACGTGGCGATCAGTAAGTGGAGTGGCTCATGACTGATGTGGAGGTTTTTGTCTACCTAATATTTTCTCATAACAGACGAGGCACAAAATAGTGCAAGACAGTACTAGGGAGAAGTTTCCGCATGAACTTCTTTATATTTGAAGTTTGTGGGAGTTTGTCCAATCACACCCCTACAAAATTTGTACGTCACTTCTTTCGTGTTGCCATGTGATGGATAACCATATGATTGTGCAAATTCAATTACAATTAAGAAAATCTATACACAATATATAACACAATCACAAATCCCTAGTTCCACGATCCATCTCTAGAATTTCGTGTCTTCAGCCGATAAGGGTCTGTTTAGTAACGTTTAAAAGTCACATCATTTCTGTGAATAATAGAAATTAATGATAAGCTACTTCCCTTTGAATAGATACAAATCCCTCCAAGTATTACAGATTACAAAAAGACATATTAGAATATATGATAAGATCTTGATCGAAGAAAATATAAAAAGTAATAGTCAATTCAAACTCATCCTTTCTTCGTCGAAAACCGTCGGCACGAGAAAAGCGAAGTGCCACCGGACATCTATGAAGAGGATGATGCCTAAGTTTGATTCAAAAGTCAAATGGCTAATTCGTTTGGTGATTATATAGGATCTTTTCGGGGGAAACTCAAGAGGCCCACTTTCTAAAGCGACGGAATGAAGTAACAATCGGCCGCCCATCACCAAACTTCTCAAGGCAACACTATAGTGCCCATAATTGCACGGAGGAAGATGCCTCCCATAGTAGTTGAACATCTATTCCCTTTCCTTTTGTCAGCTTTCTCCTTCGTTGAGGAAAATTGGCTGGCTATAAGCACACACCCCCTTTTCAAACCCATCATAATTATTGAGTGAATGATGTGGATTTCTTTTCTTGGACGATGATTGATATCGGAGAAATCATCATAAGGTTTAGGGACGGTTCAAAAAAGTTTGCGACTTACTATTGTCAGAGCGTTTTACGTTAGTTAACAATCGACTAGTCCCCGTTAGGGAAGGTACTCTTCTATCCAGAGTACACCCGATACTTAAGATGTGTGACTCTTGAAGGTGATCACGAACAACAGTAGATGGGGGATCGCACTTGAGGTCGTTTGTCCCGTTTCTCGAGGTGAAGGCTCTAAGCGGCTTACCGCCATGCCGAGTCAATTTCGCCGTCTGACTAGGCCAAGAACTGAGTTTCTTTCCTCACATGGACATCGGCATCGAAAGCAAGTGCACTGAATGTGAGATCTGTTGAAGCATCGTGAAGCATTCATGGATTATGGGGTGTAGAAACGTGGATCCTCTATTCTTTTTTAAGGTATTGAGATCTGCAATGACTCGGAACCAGATTCGGCATGGATTCCAGAGCATAAATACTCTCAAGAATGACTCTTTGGATCCCAAAAAGGGCAATCAAGCTTAGGAATCAAGTCCACCATGCTTATTATCCCCAGGAAAAAGGAACTCAGAAGTGTGAAATCAAAGAAAAAATAGCAGTCGGCAACATGCAAACTGATAAGAGATTCCAGGGAAAAAAATGTAGAACAGATGCGTCACCATGAAACCATGTTTTTAACTCGTGCAGGGACATATATTCTGAATAGGCACGATCGACCCAAGAGTCTCGTATTTCAAATTAGTTTTTGACAGTGATCACATGGTCATACCTTTTTCGCTCGCTCATGTTATAGTCTACCGACATCCTGTGCCACAGAAACACGTCGGAATTGTAAATCAAGCTCCACCTCTTCCTGATTAGGAGCAGCACGTTTCGAACTGGAATGTTTCTCAACTTACTTGAAAAAGCATTCTATGAACTAAGAGGAACTAGAGGAGACATGGAATGAACATCACACACCACATTGTCATATGAAGTGATGTGCGATAACCAGCAACAACATGCAACTCATGGCCCAAGCAAACGTTATGGACCTCATTATCTAAGTAAGAAAGGAAAAGGGGACGAAGATCGTTTCAAGTGACAAATTGTCCTTGATAGTCGCATGCAACATCAGCTAATGGCATAGTGTTTGTCCCCCCGCCGAACATTCTCTCAATAGCCGTAGACAAAGGACAGCTCATTCTCTTGTCTATTCAGATGAACTCGATTCTCCAATTCTGATGCCACTAGGCATTTGGTCTAGAGGTTAGCGATCAGGGTAGGGATGAGTCGGATGGCGGATCAACAGTTTAATTTCAAACTCCCAAACCACCTAGCACCTAAAAATTAGAAAGAGAAAAAGAGAAAAGACTATCCAAGGCCAGAAAAGGCTGGGAGGGAAAAAATTTGAAGTGATTCCAGCAAAAATTCAATTTCCCAAAGACCACTCGAAGGCTTACTTTTCTGGGGTAACTATATGGATCGCACCCAAAATCATCGATAAGAGTGACAACCAAGCAGATTGCAAGCATCTTTTTCCCCTGTTTCTCTCAGGCGTACTTTCCCCCCCACAACTAGCAAATTTTTGATATAACCAAATTTACATGTACAATAACCATGCCTCTTTAGAAAAGAAGGGCACGTACAAGTTCAACTCATCACAGGAGAAAGATATTAGAAATGAAAAAATGAGGAAAGTTGCAGTATGACCATCCAAACGTGTAAACCAGATCACCTTGTCCATCTCCAAAAGGCATACAATATGATGACCGTCAAGATCATGCCTGCATACTTGATCCACTTGTCAACGCGATGCCGCCTCTCAACGAGTTTCAGTACAGAGTTAGAGAGTCCCACTGTGTTAAGAATATCCAATGCTCTTCGTTGAGCTTTCTGAAAAAAATAAAAGAACTGCCTGTCACTTTTAAGGATATTATAATAATTTTTATGGTCCAAATTTAAAAACAATCTTGTGCTTCATGCCTTTAGCATCCTAGATCTCCAAACTAATTGATAATGGACAAACATAGGCAGCACAAAATACACATATGTCATTGACATTTAAGCAATGGAGGTTAAACCTTAGTCATATATAACTGATTTTCCCTGATCATAGTTTTTTTCATTGTCTCATCGGTCACCAATTGTTCAGTGTGTGAACTCGAAAAGTCAAGTAACATCTCAGAAGAATACGTCTTCAAAAAGGATTCTCTATTCATCATTTTAATCTTGTCAGTGTACCCATGAAAAGAAAACCTTATTTACGCATGGTACACAAAAAGTTAGCTCGCAGATACCTTGAGGCGTTCCCTTTGCTCAGAATATTTAGAAAGGATGGCTACTCCAGTAGCAAAGGATTCTTCCAGCATCCTGGATGAATTACGGGCAGATTGCATTGCTTGTGCTTCCTCGTCAAAAATTCTTAAAACGTGAGCAGAATCCCTATCCTGGAACACAAAATCCATTAGATGCTGAGTAAAGATAGCTTCACTGCCATAAAACACTTGACTTGATGTTGTACAGTAGATAAAGGAAGACATACAGCTCGTCCAAGCAATTCTGCCCTCTCTTTAGCTTCCATCATTTTTTGCTGATTTCTTGAGGAGTACTTGTCTAAGCTCACTTTCAATGACTCGGCCTCTTCAGCTACTTGTTCCACCTTTCTGTGCCATTAAGTCACAGTACCAATCAAATCAAAAGCCCATCAGATGGTGAGATGAACGACCATTTACAAAAGTCACAGCTCGAAATTTCACAAAAACAAGAAAGCTGCGTTGATAAGAAAATGTTAAAGAACTAGAACTGAAATCAAAGGACAACACAGGTTATCCCGACCTAAAAAGGAAAAGAGAAAAGCTTAAAGGATAAGTATACACCCTCGGAACTACTTCCAACGTACATCTGTTTGATTTCCAAGAACACGAACAATACAGTTCATCCGACTTCACTGACAAATTTTAAATGCTTAAGGTGATACAGCTCCATAGTTTCCCAATAATGGGGATTGCATAATTGCAGAATCATTTGTTCTCGTTTCAATCAAGTGACCATATATGGTTTGAAAACTGAAATTACTACTTACAGAGGTTCTATGATGGCTAAGCAATGTAAACAAGCGAATCTATAGAATCCCGAGCCTCAAACTTTCATTTTCACAACTGCGACGAAAATTGCAAGAACAACCCAAAAGAAATTTCACGAAAAAAGAGAATTCTCCATTGATCTCCCAAGCTACGTCGTCATCGTCCAGTGTAAAATTACACCAAGGGCCAAAATCAAGGCCGGTGTAACTCGACTAGTTTTTATCGCATACAGTAAAGTTTATCAGGAAAGAGCAATATATATGATTGTGCAACATACCACTATCGTATTACAAGGGGACATGAAAGGAAGGAAAGTAGAGGTAGTTTCCATCGCCATGGGATCGCAGAAGAAACTTCAAAGCATTTCGGCACTCAAAAAAGACAGACCCAAGATCGAGATGAATTAAGCTGAAACAACCATCCGATATACACACAGAGACAACCGCACCGAAATTCTTCGCATTCGGTTCAAATGAGAAGCAGTAACGCGCCGATTCAAATCCGCACGCACGGAAATGACCTGACAACCACACGATTCAACGGCGGGAGTCGACCGATTCAAAGCCCATGCGGGAGGAGAGAATCGAATACCTCCTCCAGAGATCGCGCTGCGACTTGGCCCCTAGGAACCGCCAGAGCCGGTCCATCTCGATGCAGAGGGACTGAATCTGGACGACGTCCCTCCGGATCGAGGTCGACAGCTCCGGAGGCTCCAGCACGCCGGTGGCGGCGGCGGAGCACTCGAGCCTCTCCAGCCGCTCGAGCGCGTCCCTCGTCCGCAGGAGCAGCCTCTTCGCGCTCTGGTACACCTCCGACAGCGTCCCCCCGCCGCCCCCCGCTCCGTCCATCGCCGCCGCCGCCGCCGCCGTCGGGGCGTGATCGCGGTTCGGATTTCCCCGCACGCGGGCGCGACCTCCGATTCGGTTTTCTTCTTCGCGACGGGAAAGATCAGTGGCCGTTTTCGGTTCGCTTCGTTCGGGCCTGGCTTCGCTCCGCCTTCTAGGCACGACTGATTTTCTTTATTTTCTTTTTAATTTTATTGTTTTATAGGCCCCTGAATATATTTTTATATATAAATATAGAATGAATTTATCTGGCGGCGCATCGTCTCCGTATCGATTATTCAGATATTTCATAACATAATGAATTTGTCGATCCTGCGAGTATTAATGTTTTTACACACGCACAACGCGCGCGCGCATTTGCATATGTGAAACGATTTATTGAATATATTTCGCGTAGGAGCGATTGGTTCTCTGGAATCGGGAACTGTCTACTAAAAATCGGTTCTGAAAAATTGAAACCGACTGTTGATTTCATGGACCTATCCCATAACAGATCTAAATGTCCCCAATAAAACTACGGCGTTCTACACAAGTGAACATGAAAAGAGGTCCTCAATTGATGAATGATCGAATGAAATAAATCGGTCATATTTTGCTTACATGAGAGCTAAAAAAATGGAGGAACTATAAGGCGAGAGACGGAGAGGCAACAAGCAGGAACATATTCAACAATGATCGGGATGTCGCAAATCAAAGTCTCTCACTAAATTGAGATAAATCTCCGTGAAGGGCGAAATTTTTTATCGCACTAGAATGGAAAAGCTATAAGGAACGAAATCAATTGTACGATTTCGAGAGTTTCGAATTACGATGACGAAGTTGGTGCTGATGAGGAGAAATCCCGAGGGACCGAAGGTTTTCATATGAAAATATAAAAAATTTAAATATATATATACCTACCAGTCTAGTCCAAGTGGGCAAGTAGACGGTTTCCACATTTAGAACCGCGAATCGAACTGGTACTCACATAATCCAGTAAATTGGAATAAGGAATTGGACCAGTCCCCATGAGAACCGCCAGTTCGGTTTGGCTCTGGCACGGGTTCCAATTTTTTTTTTGCACACTCCTAATTTCACGAGGAAAAGAGAAAATTATATTCTTTGCCTTCTAAATTTTTATATATAATATATACTTACATAGAGAGTGCTTTGCAATGAAAAATTCGTATAGATATCATTAGCCTGATTTATTAAAAAACCAAAAATTTTAGATCCAGTCTCAATTCTATCATGAACTTTTTTTTATTTCATAAAAAATCCTCAATTTTTACTCCAGTTCCAATTTAGCCCATATATTCAGAAATCTCCACTAGTTTACCCAAAATTATCAACATCGAAATATCCTCACCTTGTGAGGAATAATAGGAATCTCCCTAACGTTGATAATATTTTTGGATGCGGGCATATTTGGAATTAGGGTGAAAGTTGAAAATTTTTTATGAGATAAAAAAAAATACGGAGCAAAATTGGGACTAGGCGTGAAATTGATGGTTTTTTAGGAGATTCAACCGTGTTTTTATTTTATCGTTTTTATTTGTTCTTTGCGTCACAACAACGGAGAATCTAGAGCTGAAATTCCTAACTAAAAATGTGGGACAGATGGTTTGACCCGTTGACTCCTCAGCTGATATTCCTTGCTGGAACGCGACGCTCCAAACGACGCCGCCGCCTAGAGTTGCGAGCTCCTCCTCCTGCCTCCTCCTCCGCCGCCGCCGCCGCCGCCGGCTCTGCTCCGCCGTCTCGCGTCAATCTCACTCGCCGTCGGTCCTCGATCCTCGGCCGGAAATGAGGTAAGAATCGCCGGCGATCACGCTCTCTTCCTGCGTGCGCTTTGAGAAATCAGCCGTGTTCGTCGACGAGACGCTCATCTCGCTACCCGCGGTTGCCTGAGTGACTAGCAGATCAGGGGTTGCTTCAGCTTCAGGCGACTGTGTTTGTTTGTTTTTTTTTTTTTTGTCCTTGTACGGTTTCGGTGGTTCTGGTTCTGCGATGCGTTCATGGTTCAGATATGCATTTCGTGAACCAAATGTGTCTTAGGTTTTTCCAAGCAGACGGGAAAAGCTGCGACGTGTGTGTGTTTGTGTCGACTGTTGGTTTTTCTCTCGTGCGATAAACAGTGAATGATGTTGCTAGCGAAAGTTCGGCCTGTTTGGATCATTGTACAGGACATGAGTTGAGTTCCTCCATGTCGTGCGCTGATGGAGTTGGTTTTTTGTGGGCCTCTTTGGGTTTTTTAACATTTTATGCAATGAATTTAGAGCTCTCTTTGGCATTTTCATATAATGGCGATGATGCTTCCAAATGCAGTCGTCAACCCGAGGTTCTTTGGGCGCAGAGGTCGGACAGGGTGTACCTTACCATCTCTTTACCCGATGCAAAGGATGTCTCGGTGAAATGTGAGCAACAGGGCTCGTTCAGTTTCTCGGCTGTTGGGGTGCAGGGGGAATCCTTCAGTTTCAGCTTGCAACTATATGGAGCGATAGTGGCGGAGGTGGGGCTGTATGCCATTTAATGCTTTAATTTTCTACAGGTTCAGATGATATGCATCGGCTTATGTTGTTCTTATATCCAATTTATTGACCTCGCATACAGAATCACTGGTCAGCTATTCATAATTTCATTTAGTTTGACTCACATTGCACAATGCATAGTCTATGTCAATTGTCAAAGTGTCCTACTTTTGATTTGTAACAATCAATATAATTGGCTGGGAGGACATTACACTATTTAGAGAGGGGTATTTATTTGGTAGAAAAGATGGGACTTTGCTTGGTCTTGCCTTTAGCCCGTGTTTAAGATGTTAAGCAATTTTACATTTACTCGCTACTTTTGTTCAAATAAGCTGACAGTTTGAGCTAGGGGAGCTATGTTGGACACGAGAGGGTAGCTATGCTGATATGATAATCTAAAGTAGGTAATTTTACATTTCCTCTTCTCAAGGAAGTACTGTCATGGGAATTATAAACCGTGCAAATTCTTCCCTGAATTTCAAAAGAAACCGTGGTGGTACCCTGTCAGAATTGAGGTTTAACTTTGAACTTGCAGACATTTTAATCTATGCAACAAATCGAAAGTCCAAGTATAATTTTTGACAGAAACCTAAAATATCGGCTTTTATTGTTTAATATGGAGATGAGATGAAAGCAAATCTTTTAGAGGGTATAATAAATTGTCTGTTTCTCATTCAGCTATATTTCTATCATAAGAGATGGCACAATTGTTACTTATCTAAAAAAGAGAGACTAACAATTGTTGTTAGGTAGTTTCATACCTACCGGCTAATTTTTTCTTTGTTCTTGGGACACTTCCTTCGGAGTTGCTCCTCCAAAACCTTATGCAGATGCTGTGACCAAGACATACTGATTATACGTGATGTTTTCCCTTTTGTGATATTTTGAGGAGTTTCATTGCCCAGTGGTTCTTTTGTCAGATGCTTTGAGTTATGTTCGTATTTTACCAGGGTTGTAAGACGAAAATGGGGCTGAGGAATATATTCTGCACTATCCAGAAAGAGCAGAAAGGTTGGTGGAAAAGACTATTAAAGTCGGAAGAAAAACCTGCACCTTACCTGAAGGTTGACTGGAACAAATGGTGTGATGAGGATGAGGAATCACCTTGTAAGTTCACAATATCTTCCTGGTAGTTGATTGTTTTGTTGCTTGGCAACTACATCCGAAAACTACTCTGCAATTGAAATGTAGATTTGAAAGAAAGGTGATTGTCGAAAGGTCTTATGTGGAATAAGATGGCTGTTGTCTGACAAACCTGTATTTATTTGCGTGACACATTTCTGTTTCATTTTGAGCGTCTTCCTTTTCTGCATAGCATTTGGTTGTCAATGTTGTTCATTCAACCTATTCAAGTTGTATAGTTGGAGACAAATATTTTAGTGGATTATGGGGTTTAAAAATGACCCTGCCGTGCCTTGTGATGATTCATTTGTTGATGAGAAAATTTTGTGCCAAAAGAAAAGTAAGCAGAAAGAATTTGCCTGGTTGCTATCCTCGTTTTCAGTTTCTAATGACGAAGGACAGTTTAAAAAAAAAGTTGATTTTCCATGTTCTTGGCTGTGTAAATGTACTAGCACCCATCCCCCTGCACAGATAGAAAAGTTAACTTCATAGAGGATCTGTTGGTGTCCATTCATTTTCAGCAAATATGAGGAGAAAAAGGTTGAAACTATGTATTTGGAAATAGAGAATAATACACCAAGCTCATGATCACAGAAGTAAAAAACTGAAGATAGATTTCGGAATTTCTTTGAAAGTGAAAGCTGGAAAACTCGCGTAATTAAACGTCTCTCTCTCTCTCTCTCTCTCTCTCTCTCTCTCTCTCTCTCTCGGCTGCAAGCAAGTTAGTAATTATAGGCCCATTATCATTTGAAAGCTACTGTCCTTAGAGTGGATTTTATAGCTTTAGCTTAGACCTTTGTCCTCTTAGGTGGAAGCATTGATATCCGGGATTATCTACTAGATGCAAAAAAGAAGGCCTGTCATTAGCAAAATTTTATCAGGGACTTATTTTAGTTCCAAACAGTGAGGCGACTTTCAGTTCAGTCACTATACGTTTGAAGTGCTTTTAAGTTTAAATCAAGCCACTTTGTCATTGGGCCATGGCATGTGGCACATAGATAAATTGCTATAGTGGCTTCTGTTAAGAGCCAATTAATTACCTTTTTAATTCAGTGAACAAGTTGTAAGCACTTCAAGAGTTTAGTAAGCTTATTTAAAAAAAATTATAGTTCATTGACCTAATTGACTGTAAGTGTCAGGTTGAATACTCATAATTTGTCTCGTTGTTTTGAATTGGAGTATTCTTTACATCCCTTTGACCGCAAATATATGCTTAAATGTGGCTTACAGTGTAATTATCTTTCTTGATGTTTTTAAATTTTCCTTGTATAAAGGCCTTATATGACTGCTTTGTGGCACATGTAAATGCCTTAGAAAGCGTTGTGCTTCACTGTATAATATTGCTCTTTCCTCAAGTATATCTACTGTGAGATTAAGAATATGGATGACTCGGCTTTAGGTTCCATATAAATGCTTGAATCATCTAGAATGGCATTACTCCATACTTCAGGTGCTAGACTTGATATTACTTACTTTCGGGCCTTTAGGGTCCTATTGCTCATGAATTGAATGTTGCATGGTTGCATCCATGAAATGTTTTGATTATTCAGTGGATCTTTCACTCATCTGAATTCTGTCTGTTTTTTTTCTTTTTTTTTGGCAGCTGATTTAGGATCTGATGGCGATGATGCAACGGTAATTTGATGGACTCTTACTTTGTCTCTGCCTGAATATATTTCATAGAGTAGACAAACTAATCATATTATTTGTTCCGTTGCAGTATGGAGGTGAAGATGATGAAAGCAGTGATGAAGAAGGAATGCTCTGTGAGTTCAACAGAACTTTGTCCTATTAAAATGAAGTTGTTCATTAATTAGTGAAAGATGTCATTGGTTGCATATCGTGTTTTTGTTGAAAAAATTCTTTTTTTTTCCACATCACAAAATCCATATGCATTTGGAGTTTAGAGCAACGCTAGAGATGCTGAAACCAGTTTCTAATCATACGCCCTGTTTTGCAGATCTTCCTGACTTGGAGAAGGCTAGAGGAAATTAGTAAAGTAGCAGTACGAGAAATACATCTCCTGTACGCACTGTTTGCTGCACTTGAGGAGGTTCAGCACGTGATAGGAAGCACAGGTAGAGCTCATGGATGCTTGCAGCTTAGCCCATCAGGTTGTCTACAGTCTCAGCCAATCTATATCATTAATGTCGACTTCGTTTTACATGTGAGAATTTGAGTGTTTATCCGGGCCGCTATTAAGGGAAGTCTTGTTGCTCTGGTTGCTTTGGCGCATTTTGTCTCCGGTCCCCAATCAACGATCCCACTCCGATGTTGATGCTTGCCGACCTCGCTAACAAGTAACTAACGCATAAACTTGACCTAATTTGATACTCTAGTCGCCCTATGATATCATCCACTAGGATGAAATTTCTTTGGCTGATGACATTTTCTGCACTAATCAGCTGGTTTGGCCAAGAAAACAAAAGGAAAAGAATGAGCTGATGCTTGATCAAATGCTCGTTTCCTTTGCCATAAACCTGTCCTCCACTCGGTATTTTTTTTGCCCCTGCCTTCACCAGTATTTGATGCTGTGAGCAAATTAGCTTAAGATCATGTATTCGAATTCCGTAAGCACGTGTCTGGATTAATTTCTACTTCTTACCTTTTGGTCGATTAAGGGTGTGTTTGGATAGACATTTAATTTTTATTTTTTGCTTGATCTGAATCTCAAGACGGATGCGCCTACTTTTTCCTTACCCAACATTTGAAACTTTCACATTATGTAAATTGCGACATGTGAATTCACGATATACAAACTTTAGAAGACTTTGTTGAAGCTAACCAATATGTCATAAATCTTGTGGTGCACTGCACGCATTTTGAGATTCTTATTTAGATTTTACCCAAATGTGCTTTAGGCTTGTGGGCTCGGGAGAACCTGCTTTTGTCCGCCGTGCCCACGATCAATTTAATAAAAGAAAACAAGCATCGATCTCTTAGACTTTGTATACTCCAAACTAAAAATAAAGAGGATAAGGCACATTTAAAATGATTTTCATTTTTTATTTCATTTGTTCATTAGTATTTGCAATTTCAATTTATATTTGAGAATCACGCTTTTTATAAAGTCATTCATTGTGAGTGTTGGATATCTTGAATATTTCTTTAGAATTTGTACGTGCTTCTCTCTAGTGCTTTTGCTTCCCTCCTAATTTTTCCAAGTTTCCTAGCTTTTGTCTCATTTATCATGATTATTTATAGAATAATAGGTTATCAAAATAAATAATAGGAAAAAAGAAAAGAAAAGAATCGCTCGACGTCACCGGATACAAATGTCTTTCCTCCAAACTGTCGGCAACCACACAAAACTTAAAGCTGACGCGCTCTCTGTTTGACCGACAACTTTCCAAAAGCAGAAAAGGACAGTGTCTGTCGCAGTTCGGACGATGCTATTACCCGTGTCGGATGCGCGTGAACGTTGTCTAGATCCGCTCATTCCGCACCCAATAACCAAAAATCGAGAAATTATATATTAATCGCGTATCGACATTTATATTTCGTATAAAAATTATTTTACACGCGGCAAATCCTCTAAAAACTTCTTTATGTAGAGGCATTTAAAGTCGAATGACCATAGAATTACATAAACCGAAAATCCCCGCCCCCAAAAAAAAATATCGACCGTTCATTTTTTTTTGGAATATATCATTTATCGAGAATCTACACCTATCCATGACGACACGCCGCGCACACGTGGTCGCCACTGGTATTAGTATTATTCTTCAAAACATAACTTTCCAAAAATCAGAGCGGATAAGCTCGCGATGTCTCCTCCTCCGACGTCGTCTTCTTCCCACGTTTTGAGCACTCACCTCGCATATAAATAGCGGGGCCAGCCCTAGGCCAAAACCAGATTCGGTTCCCATATTTGTTCTCATAAGATCAAACCCACATAGAGAGCGCAGAAGAAGAGGACGAGGAGAAGAGAATGTCGGGAATCATCCACAAGATCGAGGAGACCCTCCACATGGGAGGAGGCCACAAGGAAGGGGAGCACAAGGGCGAGCACAAGCCGGAGCACAATGAAGGCCACTCCGACAAGATCAAGGACCAGATCCACGGCGGCCACGGCGGCGACCACCACGACAAGGAGGGTCACGAGAAGAAGGACAAGAAGGACAAGAAGAAGAAGAAGGACAAGAAGAAGCACGAGCACGGCGGCGACAGCAGCAGCAGCGACAGCGACTGAGCCCCCCCGGTTCGCACTCAGGTGAGATATTTCGTGTTCATTCCGTTCGTCCGAGGCATCGTAGATCGAGAGTAAGGTGTCGTTGCCGGACGGATCGCCGTTTCTGTTCCTTTTTCATGTTGTCAGATCTGAGGGCGTGTTCGGTTCTTGCAGGCGAACGGCGTCGGATCGGAGCGAGGGCATGCCGGCTGACTTCATCCTTATCGTCTACTCATATCATATTAGCGGGAGAAGAGAAAAATAACAATAGGAGTCTGTATTTGCTGCTTTGCTTTTAGTCCGATGACCTGCTGGACGTGCAACTACTTATGTAACTAATGTGTTTCGCGAAATAATATGTTTTTCATTAACGTTCTTGTCCCGGTTGAGTTTCGGCATCTGCCACGCGAGAGAATTCCGTATCGGATGCCTCCTACATCATGCTAACCTAGTTCGTCTAAATTGCTATTGATAGCATGAATTCCATGATGAGATCTACATGATTTTTAATGTTCTTAATCTATGTACCATAGTCTAGTCTTTTGAGATTGATGTACTTGCATCCTAGCAATGGCCAATGGGCCGCGCTGGCCCAAGCGTGGAATGGCCCGACACAATTGGGCCCGTGCTGGGCCGGGCCTGTTACGAATAAGGGGTTTTGAAAGAGAGATATGTGCTCTGTTTGATTAGCATCGTGACCGAAGAAATTAATCTCCTCTAATAAAATTCAGTAAGGCTTCGCCTGTCCCTCCTGAAGAAGATCGTGCGATTTGACAAGGGGCCATGACAAATGCTCTTGTAGCTCTAATAATAAGAATAACAATAATGATAATAATAAAGAACCAACTTCATTGCCAAAATGTTGATCAAGCACGATTTAGCTCACCAAAGGTTACATACTCCGCCTAAGCATGATTTTATTATCGTCCCAGGAATTTTCGATGCTTCACCAAGACGGGGTTGCCTGTATTGGTTGAGCTGGATCACGATATCGTGAAGCATGCGACAAGATGCAGCTATAGTTCGTCTTAGCATAGGGTATGGAGTTTCATGATATTCTTTGCAATTAAGTGTTTATGACGAAATTTTGCTTTTCTAGTTTGCGTCGTGTTGTACATATGTATATGTGTGTGTGATGGATGTGGAGAAGTCACGGATTATGTCAAAAGATAGATCCAAACCACACATTGCATTAAGTCATGACATGTACAAACACAATAATGGGATCTCGATCAGACAAAAAGAGAGAAAGAAAGGGCGGGTGCAACGGTTGGGAAGGAACTTGAGTCTTCAAATGATCCAAACATCTATCATATTAATCAAATTTTGGTTGCTGGAGGTGGAAATGTTGATGTAGAAGTACAATACTTGTTTATGTGGACGTAGGTGCTGGGATTCTCGGTGCTGGTATGTATGGTTCATTATGTGAAAATTGTCCAAAAAATCCTAAACTCATTGCATTTTTACCAATTCAGATCTAAATCTTTCAATTTTGCCAATTGAGTCCTAAATCTTTTCGTTTCTTGCCAATTGAGTCTATCCGGCCAATTTTGACCGGAAATCGCTGACATGGACGCTGGACGGCCACGTGGTTCTGACGTGGACATTTTAAAATAATATTTTAATATTTTTTAAATATTTTTTTTTATTTTTTCTTCTTTTTTTATTTTTTTCCTTTTCTCTATTTTTTTTTCTTGGTTTTGAAATTAGGGCTGGTGAGGGTGGTCGGCCGACCCTTGCCATTGGCCGGATTGACTCAATTGGCAAGAAACGAAAAGGTTTAGGATTCAATTGGCAAAGTTAAAAGGTTTATGACTGAATTGACAAAAGTGCAATAGGTTTAGGACTTTCTGGACAATTTTCCCAGTCCATTCTTGATGACATTCCACAAATTGTAATCCATGGATAGTACGAATATTTTCATCCTCCATTTCCGGTAGATATAGTCAGATCCATCGAACATTTGTGGTCTAGAAATGGACTATCTTCACTAAAGGATGTTTCTACGATGTGAGCCATAATGATCTTTTCGCTCTTGAAATATAGCACTTAAAAAACTCGACCGACATGCTCTGATGCCAATTTAAATGGCTAAAACAACGACTAAGAAGGGGTGATTTGTTGTTTCAAGAACATCAAAACTCTTGAGTGAAAGATGTGAGAATGTGCCCTTGTAGAGGGAGAATAATTATGCAGATGTAGTGACTTCTGCGAGACAAACAATGAAATCATTAAAGAGATAGAAGATATTTCAAGACAAATTCATAGTGGTTCAGCCTTTCACTTGGCACACTTTGCTCTCGGGAAAAATGTCAGAAAAGTCCTAAACCTTTTGCATTGGTACCAATTCAATCCTAAACCTTTTGTTTTTGTGCCAATTCAGTCATTCCGGCTAATTTCGGCCGGATTTTGCTGACGTGGACGCCGGTCGGTATACGTGGCACCGGCGGTGCTGACGTGGACAATTTTAAATAATATTTTAATATTTTTTGCGCCAAGGCAATGCCCGGCGAGGCCGCCCTGGTGTGGGCGAGGGCCGATCCCGCTAGATCTGGCCAGGGCGAGGCCGACACTCGCCTGCCTAGCCGGGGCTCGCCCTCGCGCAGGCGACTGTCGGCCTCGCCCAGGCCAAATCTGGCTGGGCAGGCCCTCGCCCACGCCAGGGCGGCCTCGCTGGGCGTCGCCTTGGCGCTGGCGACGCCCGGCGAGGACCAGCCTCACCAGATTTGGCGAGGGGAGCCCTCGTCGGGGCTCGCCTAGGCCTCATCGTGCTTCGCCTGGCCGAGCGACGGCGACCATTGCCCAGGCGAGGGCAGCCCGCCCGGCCATCGCCTGTGGCCGGTCACTGGCAAAGGGGAAGGGAGGAAGAAAGAAAAAAAACGAAAAAAAATCAGAAAAATTAAAAAAATCGAAAAATTATTAAAATATTATTAAAAATTGTCCACTTTAGTGCCGCCGGTGTCACGTAGGCCGACCAGCGTCCACGTCAGCAAAATCCGATTAAAATTAGCCGGAATGACTAAATTGGCACAAAGACAAAAGGTTTTGGACTGAATTGACACACAAAAAAAAAGGTTTATGACTGAATTGGCACTAATGTAAAATGTTTAAGACTTTTTTGACACTTTTGCCCTTTACTCTCTCAAATCTAACAGCCATGAGCAAGACTCGAATCCATTAAGTAATCACTGAGATTTTACAGTTTGTAAATGGTGCTCCCACAATAAGAAGCTCAGAAGATGATTCTCCAAGCACAAGCATCTTAAGACCCCACAATCCACTCTCTTCCCATAGTCGAGAATTTAGCCCTCGTATAGAATTACAATCTGAAGACAAACATTCCACAATTAAAAGCTAGAGTGTTTGTTGCGACATAGTGAGAACTAGTTCGAAATTTCTGGCCATCTTCAAAGTTACCTTTGATTTGTTTATAGGCCTTTAATCTTCAAAGTATTAGTTGGGACTTGGGAGCTGTTTCAGAGTTAAATGAGCCATTGACTATCTTCTCTAGCAATCATACCTGCAATCTGCACAATTAGAGTATACTCTAAAAGACAAAGCAGGGTGTTTTCCACTAATAGAGCCTTTTGCTTCCGTTGTATGACTCTCTGAATTGCCCTCACAGAAATGGCAAAACTGCCGGATCTTCTCTAGGCTCCTTTCTTGGGGTTCAGAAACATTGCCAGAAATATTTGTGGGTGGCCAAAAGTGTGCTTTGAGTGGGAGAGGAGGGTGGTGGTGCTAAGGTTTCGAGTAGGTCTAGTTTTATATTTGGAATAATGACACAAATGGAACCTAAATTTTGACTCAATGTGTAATATGGTTCCTGAACATTTAAAATACTAAATGCATATGTTTGCCCTTGATTAGTTGTGTAGTACAAGTAACTTTTGTCATTAATTAGTTAGCTACTAAGTTAAGTAATGTGTGTAGGCCTTGTACGACAAGATAAACTTTGGTGGCAATTTGGAGCAAGATTCTCGGATGTAAGAAATTCTTCTGGCGCTTGCAAATGTCGAAAGTTTAATGGAGAAGTAGGCACCTCAACGATCATTATACGATATTAAAAGGGAATAAAAAGACAGTTTATCGTAAGAGAGGAGATTAAAATACTATTGTCGCTTGAGAATATCCCAGCCATTTGTTTGACAAATGGAGATGCGGGCAAAATAGCATTCTC